CCGTCAGGTAAGGGGCGTCAAAAAGTACCTCCGCCGGAAATATGTCGTCACAGTATGAGGGTGAACCAATACTTCTCAACCTCTTCCGGTATGGAATTTCTCAATCCCATTCAACTGAGGTAATATCCACGGTATGGTTATCCTATGCACCAGGTCTATACACCCTTTCCTATAATACCCCGTAATCCCTTTAGCAAACATATTTACATCATCTGTCAGTCACCATTCACATACAACCAACTCATTCCATATTTATAACACAATATGTTATAATTACACAGGCAGTATAAACTAATAAATTAACAACTAAGGAAAACATAATCAAGACATTCATTGCAAACCAAATGACAAATAGGGACAAAACGGGTAGATTAACTAATAAATGCGAAGGCAATTAAAATCAATCAATTAAAGCACATGATTGTAAATAGTAAGCAATTCGGATAATATAGGAATAAATAAGCAACACATATAAGTTCAAAAAATTATACATTAATCGGTTTTGGCTCCCCTAGTGATATGTAATTAATTTAAGAATTTTTAATTTTTACAAAAAATACCGGTATTAATTATTAAACTTTAATTTACCATAATGGGAGAAAATTGTGAGGGATTCTTACCCCGAGTCGGTATTTGAAAAATACCATCTTTTTCACTACGTTTCCTGGTGGTCCTTGAATTTTTTGAATTTTTTATGCTGAAATAAAAAAATCTGTTACGTTTTCCAAAATACTCCAAAAAGGCCAAAATGATCATTTTATACAGCAAGAAAAAACTCAAAGTTGCCTAGCGGAGGTTAACTCTATAGGATTTTTAGTTATTTTCTTTTTATTCAGTTATTCGAACTTCCTTAAAAAAAAAATTCTCGTAACCCTATTAGATATCCTGATTCTATATAAGAAATATAAACCCTAAACTCTTAATTGTTTCCGTCATTCTTTTATAAATACAATATATATTGATTTCCTTAAAGTTTTGGGTATTTATAGTGATAATCTCTATAAGATAAAGATTACTTGATCATATTAACTAAATCACATATATAAATAATGCATATAAAGATATGATCATTGAACTGATCCAACTGAAAATTTTTAATGGTTAATATTACTTTAAACTATCAATAGAGTATTCTTTTATTTTGATTAGACGTAAGAATTTTCTTATACCTGAAATCATCATATTAATTGACAAGTCATTTATTATATTTTAATTCTTGATAACTATACTCATAAAACTGTAGTTAAAAAGATATTGGGTGTGATTAAATACTTGTAAAATTAATTATTGATCAAGACAGAATCTGTCAACTTTAGTAGTAAGTTTAATTTCTATGTTGTCATTTATTATAACGACTAAATTAAGATCTTGATCAGAGCAGTAAAAAAGAAAAAAAAAATAGTTTCTTATGTCATTCATTAATCAATTATAAATGACAAGAAATATAATTAGTTATCTATTGGAATTTGATAGTCAAAACCATATCTCAGAGTTAACCCGGAAAAATAATAATAGAATGAAATATTACAAATTTTTTTAGTAGATTTTTAAGAGTAATTGTATATTTCATGCTATCCGGTTGTTGAGAAGTGTTGCTAGATGCCAACCTTAATTAGTAAATTTGTCTAACCAATTTGCTATCGGTTGATTATTGAATGTATGGGTCGCACACTAACGCGAATATAATTAAATAGATTAAGTATTTTAATTATTTGATAATTAAATTAAAAAATTTAATTTAATCTAATAAATAAATTTTTTGCTCTAAATTTAATATTATTATATTTTTTGTTAACATCGAGAATATAATTAATATTGGAGATAAATTGAATTTTTTTTATTTTTGAAATAGAAAATTAATATTTATATTTTTTATTATTATATTATTAATATAATAATATAATATGTATTAATATTATAATAATTGAGATTATTATAAATTTAATTTAAAATTGAATTGATTTATAAAATTATTTATTAAATAATAATAATTAAAAAATAAAAACATATATATATGAGAGATATATATATATATGTATATGATTGGTATGTTAAAAAGAAAAGAAAAAAAAAAAGTAGATGAGTCCAATTTGATTTGGACGTCTATAGAGAATTTTTTTGATTAAAATTTTGGGAAAAAATTTTAACACACATATTATTCAATTTGTTCGTGCTTTTCGTTGATCAAAAAGTTAAATAGTAAATATCAATTTCGATGTGGGTATGCGTAAAGTATTCGTGTTTTCGAACAGTTTTAATTTGATAACCCGTTTTAACAGTTTTAACAGTATGTTTTAAATTTGATTTTTAACTTGCAATATAATTTTTGAAGTACAAATACATCATATTGAATTGTTTTATATTTTTCGCTGCGTGTTATGAACACATTACAAGATATCTTGTACTCAGCTGACTCATGTTTCACTCTTAAGAAAGAAAGAAAGAAATGAAGGAAAGAGGAAAACCAAAGTTACAAACCTTCGTTGAAACGGGAATCTTTTATAAATGCTATTTGAAGAAAACGAAGAGCGAGAAAGGCTCGGGCTAGGCTATTTTTTGGCCTGGTTTGGCTCATTTCGGGCCTGACCCGTGCAAACGAAAAAGAAGCAGAGGAAATGGAATATAAAAACTAATACAAAATAAAGAAAAGAGGCGGGACTAATTGTGTTTTTGGGTTTTGGCTAATTCAATGACGACTTTGAAAACTTCTAAAATTATGAATTATTTTTGCACACTTTTTTGAGCCTCATGTCACCCACGCTGTGACAATTTGACAACTCTACTGAACACTTAATCAAATAACATTTTGAAGTTTGATGCATAAGGGGCACTGATGGGATTTTGGCACAAACCTTAGGACATACGTTAAAGGTTGGCTCTCACATGGGGATAGATAATAACAGCAAATTTATAAAACAATTTCAATGATTAAGAAATTTGTAAAAAACAAAAAAACTTTATATTAAAATTTATAATTTGTGGAATATATGAAAAAAAAAATTGAAAATAATACATAAAATCTTATCAATTTATTATGAGATAATATATACATTTAATTACCATGTAATCAGCAATTTTATTACAACACATTCTTTTCCTAATTAGGAACCACTTGCAGCAACTTCTACATGTTCCGTCTTCTCTTTCTAACATGTTTATCTCATAATATATTACTCGTTATAAATTAGTTGAACCTGCAATCTCACTTTATATCACTAAGTATATTCTTATAAATGGTAACTTAAAAGAAGAATAACACAACAAACACAGAATAAACATATGTTATTAACAAATGTCAGTTGTTTATAATAAAACAAGGACAAGAAACATAACCTGACAAAATTAAACAAAAAGAAAACTGACTCGTTTGGTTAGGTAGACACAAGCCGCAACAGATAGCCAAGCCGCAACAGGCTGACAATCACTCTATAAGCTTTCTGAAAAATACCTTTGGTCTATCCTACTCATCAGTTACACAACCCTTTGATGCCGGCTGCACATTCTTTATGTACTGAATCAAAGACAACGGTACTGAATCACTAAACAAATTAACTCTAGAAAGCAGCTAGGAAGAAAGATTCTTTAATATCCTGTACCTTGTAAAGAACCCCTCGGGTAGCCTTATATGGGGGTGGAGTCCACCTCTTTCTTCTCTCAGTCATTTCTTCATCTGATATCTGAATATCTATTCTCTTATTTTGGACATCAATCTTGATGACATCTCCATTTTTTACAAGACCAATAGGACCACCCTCCTAAAAATCATTGGTTTCTTGTCAAGAAAAGTACTAAACTTTTCCGAATATAAATAGAGATTAAAAAAAAAGTATTTAAAAGGAAAAAAATATTCTCTATCCTCAAATAAAAGAATTTATAGATCTTTTCCTAAATAAAAGAATGAATGTAATCGTTTCTTTTCAAAAGCAATACATTTTCTTTTTCCAAAGATATAATTTGTTTCTGAAATTTTTCTCACAACTAAACAGCCTCAAGTCCACCATCAAGAAGTAAATTATCAGTTTGGTAATGGAGTAACCTACCTGTGCTTCAGGGCATATGTGGCCAACAACAAACCCGTGTGACCCTCCTGAAAACCTGCCATCGGTTAACAGTGCAACATCCTGCAGTACCCAATACCAACATAATAATGAATGGAAATGGACATCATTTACAATACGTTGAGGACTCTACAAAAAAATAACCTTTTGCCAAGGTTTATCAAAGAAGAAACAGAACTTCTCACTACGAATTAGTTGTACATGTATTAGAGTGCTTTATATTTTAAAACATTCTGCAGTCTATTTATTAGGTGTTCGTAGTTATTGGTATAAGAATAAGTCAAGGATAAAACAAGAAGGTAGTTAATAACTTCTAGATATAGGATAATTACCCCTTTCCATTGTAATAAATTCCACTGCTGTCTTTGAACAGGATTGTGCATGAAGAATAATAATCAGAGTTTGAGGTCTTTCCTACTGAAGAGGTTGTTGGCTTTTTTCTTAACGAACTGATAAATTATATCAAAGTTAGGTGAAGGAAGAACAACTCTTAAACGTTCAAAAAATTCCTAGAGAATTCTATATTCATTGTCCCATAACAAGATTGTAGGAACTCTAATACAATACCAGGTTTGTAAATGTAATTCAACTTGAATAGAAGACAGCAATTACAAATATAATACCAATTTTATCTAATATTATGCTAAGAAAAGCAAATAAGTAACTACTCCATCCCCACATAAATTGGGAGTAACAACCACTTAAATTACTATAAAAAAGTACCATCCACTTGGAATTCAGAAAATCAGATGATGAAATGTTTAAGCTAATTCTTCTTATCAGGAAAAGAAAAGTTCAAGCCAATTTCAACCAATAACTTATCCCAAATCAGAACTCAGATTACCATAATATACCTTTCCTCTTTTAAAAAAAATTCTTCAGAAAAAAAAAAAACATGAAGATACCTTTCCAAGACCTGCTCCCATTATCGCACTTGTTGGTGTCAACATCTCAGGCATGCCTGGGCCCCCCTTAGGCCCCTCCCCTCTAATTACTACCACTTTTCCCTGAAACACGGCAATCATAACCGAAAATCAGTTTTCCCCAATTGTACATGTAGACCACCATAATCTTTTTTTTTTGTCAGCTCTAGGCTTCCACAAACCATTTTTTATCAGATGCCTAGCATGTTGGCCGTAGCAGAAATGACTGTATTATTTCAAAAGAAAATTGATATGAGAGAGAACCTCCACATATCTTCAGCAAGCTATATAATTTGCATAATTTTTTTAAAAATCTTCTTTTTACAACAAGAGCTTGCTAAAATGCTGTGTATTTGGGATAGGAACTCTGCAACAGCTGAAACAAGGCCCGTGGAGGAGGAACAATCAGTTTCTAAAGCCAGTGAAGTAAGGTTTTCACACAAGAGCCACAAGGGAATCTTAAAAGTTTCCTTATTCAGAAGCTCTTTTTTAAAAAATATGAAGTGTTCCTTACTCCAAAAATAATACAACAGAATGATGTGCGTTTAAATACCAATTCAGGTAGGAAAGAAGCAGGCTATTGTGGACAAACAAAACAAAAGCTTTTGTAACAGCATAATGAAATTACAGCAGACAACAAAGCCTGATGTGGATGATTTATCATCCAGAACTGACTTTTAATTGCATGATGAAATTGAAAAGCAAGCGCAACTAGGGGCTATGCATACAATGCTTTAAGGTCCAAAAAGAGGCTATGCATACAAGGGCTCATTTCATGTAGAAAGTTCCATTGATCGAAAGCCAAATAGCATCAATTGAACATACAAGTCATTTAGAAAAACCGGTTCTACAAACCTACTAATTCTACAGTTCACAAGATAAGGTAGAGTCAATCTAGAATAGAAAAGGGATTATAAAACATATCGACATTGTGAACTACCAAAAATACCTTAAAACTCATAGGATCCTCGGAGATGGCAGAAATCATAGATTCCTCTCCTTCAAAAACAAGTGCTGGACCTGAATTCCAGCTTTTGTAATCATTAAATCTTCAAGAAGTAAACTGAATTTGACAAAAATAAGACCATTATCCTAAAGTTTTCAGCGGAAGTAAAGTACCAGAGAAATATAACCCTTCTTTCCCAGTAATTTTAGCTACAGAACCTTCTGGTGCAAGATTTCCTCGTAATATTTGTATATGGCCTGTCTCCTTGATGGGGTTTGTCACAGGTCTAATGATGTCCTGGAAATACACCAGAGAGACAATCAATGGATCTTTAATCTTCTCTATTCTTAAAGACAGCACTTACCAAAATCAAAACAAAAGAAATAGTAAAAAAAATCTTTCCTCTTTTCTGTTCTTTTTTCTTTTCTCTAGAAAGAAGGAAGAGGAGGAAAGCGGGGTTGAGAATAAAAAAATTTGCCGTCCTACCTGCCCAGTAGGTAAGCGAGAGAAACTTTCAGCATTTTGAGCGATTGTTTTCCCAGTAACTAGGAAGGAAAATTCAATGTCAACTTAGAAGAGCGCACCAGAAAACAACAGAAAGAAAACACTGGAAGCTTGCAATTCATTAAAAAAAAAACTCACAATAGAATTCACATTTAATTACCAGTGACACAATCTCCATCCAGATAACCAAGCTCCAAAAGATAGCGAATAATTGCAGGTGTTCCACCAATCTATGATAACAATTATTCATAAACTTGTCAACTGATATCAAATATATCATTGCGTGCATAAAAGAAAAGCAACATTACCACGGTGCAATTAGAGGCAATGTTTACAGAAATGCAAAATGACAACAAAAAATATTTAGTAAACTACACACCTTGTGCACATCTTCCATAACATATCTGCCACTAGGCTTAAGATCAGCCAGAAACGGAACCTCATCACTAACCTTCTGAAAATCATCGAGAATTAACTCCAGAACAACAGAACTGATAAAAGTCCAATACGAAGTATATATTCAGAATCTTTTTGTTTATCTCTTTCAGACGGAAAATGACCACAAAACTAAGCTCACCTTGCAATAGCAATTAGATGTAACACAGCATTGGTAGACCCGCCCAGTGCCATTACAATGACCATTGCATTTCGCAGAGATTTCGGAGTAATAATGTCTCGCGGTTTCAAGTCCATTTTTATCAATTCTAGAAGATATTTTCCAGCTAAACGGCATTCATCTAGCTTCAATTCGTCTTCAGCAGGGATCGAAGAGCTTTCACGAAATAAACAGTGTATTAGACGAGAAGCTAAGACATGGAATAAACCATTTATTAGAGGAGAAGCCACGAAAGACATGGTTCTCATATGTGCAAATCCAAGTTTTCCTGTGAATGCAAAGTCATACCTGTAAGGAAGAGACATCCCCATAGCTTCGATTGCAGAAGCCATGGTATTAGCCGTATACATCCCACCACAAGCACCAGCCCCAGGGCATGAGTTACGGACAACATTCTTTCTCTGCTCATCACTTATGGATCCACTTACATATTCTCCATAGCACTATGACATTAATTAAAAGAAAATGGGAAATAATTTTCAATAGGACAATGATATTAGTCAAAATTAGCACGTAAAATATCAGTAAACACAAGAAATTATCAAAACTGTCCATCTCTTCCCCCAGTTATGGCATAAGACATAACTGGATTACATAAAATATATGCAAAGTGACCATGAATGACTAAAAGTTAATTATAAACGTAGATTCAGCTACAAGAAAGAGAGACAATTTTCAGAACTCACTGAAAGTAGTATGAAGGATGCCAAATACCTAGGCAGTTCATTAACTTGAGAGAGATTGAAGCACAAGCAGGCCCCCTCCCTCCGAGCCAACAAAAACACAAGTGCAAAGGCAGAAATGCAGTATGCATCTCTATATCTCTTCCAGCCAAATTAATCAACAGAGTAATACAGGCACCCTTTTTATTTGAAGAAAAAGGAAAGTATTATAAGAATGCACAAAAAGGATCCCACCCATGTACTAAAGAATGGATTAGAAGTTAGTGAAAATGTCTAGACTGAAGGACCTTCCATTGGGAGAAGACAACTTAAATTTAGAAAACTGGGGGGATCAGAACCATAGATCTCGAATTCCAGGAAAATAGGAAGCAAACAATTTCAAAAATCATTTTGATTCTCTCTTTCCAAATAATCTGCAGAATAGACAAAGTGAGAAGGATGGCCAACTCTCTTGTACCTTATCAAACATGATGCCTTGCCAGGCACAAAATAGTCTGATGCCAGATCCAAAAGTTTAGAAGCACCAAACTTCTTGTTTAAAAAGGTAATGGATTAATGTATTTAAAAAATATTGAAGCACTGATAACATACCTGAAAGGCAGATACTATGTCATATGTATTGCCTTCAAAATGACCGGGCTGTAAAAGAAAATAAAAAAGCAAGTGAACTGTCTACTCCTTTAACACACTTGTTTATCAAATGCTAGAATTTGCAAGCAAAAAAATGAGAATAATTAATAGCACCTGCCCATGATACTGGACCCATGAAACTCACAGTACACATACAGATAAATGCGCACCTGTTTGTGCACAATACTGCTAGAAGAAGACTATTAGCTTGAGAACCCAAAAACTTAACACTCTTCAGAAGGCAGGTTTAAAATACTTTTATTTCATAGTTGAAGCTAATTTACCTAAACCACCAATACCTCTCCAGTCCCCAATATTTAACCATCAAAGTCGGGCAATTTAGAAGGCAAATGAATAGGGGAGCCAATGACATTTTTGTATTTCCTAACTTTCCCCTCTCAATTATGATTTAACACCTTCTGCCTGTCCCTTTCTCCTTTTTGTTGTCCCAGCTCAGAATATTTCTCAATCGAGACTCCCAACAGAATGATTTTAAAGCCACCTCTACTTTCCTTTGAAGAAAACACAGCACACACTTATAAGCTAAAAAGGCAACTCAAAGAAAAATTTTAAAATAGAAATTCAAGTGAAAAAAGAAAGGGAATAATTACTGGAAAAGAACACAGAGGTTAAATCACTTTAAACAAATATAATTTTCGAGAGGAAAAATGAAAATGATATTAACAATACAGGGAATGCCACCCAGGAAGAAATGACATCTCCAAAGTAATGTCAACCAAAATTTCTAGATGGTTTCCAAAATATTCTCGCCCAGGACAGGGTATCTCTTTAACAAGATACACAGAGTATAAACAAATAATCTCTAATTCTACCAAAAGGAGAGCAAACACCCGCAGAAACTCTTGTTCATTTCTTTCACAATGACCCAGGAAATTGCAGGAAGAATGAAAGTGACATTCTTTTTTCTCAACTTGTTTATCTAAAGCCCGCAGTTTAGCCACCAAAAGGTCCCCAACTATCTGACGCTAAGAAGATTACCGGTAGGATCTCATAACCTTCTGACTACCAGATACCAAGTAGCAGATAGCTTGGTTGTCCAGACTTATTGTCCCATGCCCAGATATCATATAACGTATGTTTCACTCACAGTATATTTCTCACATTATTTAAACACATATGACATCTGAAATATGTTATTCCACATTTACTCCAACTAAATAGATTATATTTAGATAGTAAATGATTGACATAACAGATTTTGGAAAAGAAACAACTAACAAAAATATGAAGCTTTTTCCTCTCAGAGTTCTACCTAAAGCAATGCCATAAGAAGAAAAAAAATAAGACCATTACAATTTCGTAAACCTTCATGAAACGAAAAGTATCGAGCTCGCATAGTAAAGATTTCTGCAAGGTTGAGCATAACAAATAAGCCAATTCTGAAAATGAAACTGACACCAACCAATGAAACAAGGTATTAGGAATTGACCTTGATAGTTCCACCATAAATCATAATGCTTGGTCTGTTAAGCCTCCCCATTGCCATAATCGTTCCTGGCATCTACAAGAACAACTACAATTAGATTCATTTAGTTGCAGTGATATGGAGGATTCAGTCTGATCTGCAACAGAATTCAAATCTTAGAAAAAAAGGTTAATCAATAATATATTGTCAACTATAAGTCAATGGCCACTATCCTGGATTAGATAGAGTACCATATATCTCCAACATAAAACCCTCCAAAGCAGAACCCAATAGGGTTTTACCAGCAAATATGAATTGGAATTAATTTGCTCAATTATTTGGGAGGAAAAGAATATAGGCTTTTAAGGGTTTTCACCTCTATTTTGAACAGAAATGGAGATTGATGATTTCAGAGCCTTTGTTTTAAATCACGGGTATCCTCTTTCTTTTGTAGAAAACTCAGGAACCTGATTGATATCTTGATCAGTTTGTAATTTTCTCATTATTGTAGCTACTGATGTTGCCCTTTTGCTACCTGGTTACAGACAATTTTTTCTCCAATAGCTTGTTTGGGAGTTCTATTTTGAGGGTATAAGTAGAGTAAGGTAAGGTAGAGTACTCTTGAAATCCTGCTTGTTAGTTTTTTTATGAGAGTTAGTAAAAGTAAATTAAACAAGAAAAAAGAAGGGGCTATTAGAACCATTATTAACTCTCTAGGCCTCATTTTTAATATCAGCAAAACCCTCGCTCTATAAGAGTAGGAGAGATTCGGAAAGTTATGTTAATATGCTTTTTAACTAAATTTCATAAATACCCACGCTCTACATATAACAATTTTGATAAATAAGGGCATTTTTATCATATTAGCAATCATTTTACTCCACCTAACTCTTTTCAACCAAGAATGGAGATGAACCTCCCTTTACACTTTTTTAACATAATTAGCTCCAATTTAAAATTTCAATAGAACCACTGGTTTAATCTACATTACTCTTAAAAACTCTAACCTAACTCTTGTCTAAATACTCTCAAACACAGTATAAAAAAAATTATTAGCACATCAATATAAAAATGTCATTTTATCATTTTGTAACGGATTTGCATCGTCTCATGTGTAAATTAAAATACGAATTTTCAATAAATTTCACAAATGACATTCATTTGTTCCAAACATAACCTTAGTAACTTATAGAGATAAAATATCACTTTCTTTCCTTTCAGTCTACTTTTCTACATTTCAATTAAGGTTTTAGCTAACATACTTGACTACACATATAGGTAGTTATAAATAATATAATTTCCAGAGCATCAGAGGTACTCATAAGGATAGTTTTTCTAAGTACGATACCCTGCAAGTCTTTTAATAATATATATTAGCACAGTAATATTATAATCTAAATGAAATTTGACTAAACCTAAATTTGTTAATAATGAACTTAAAAGTCTCTCACTTAAGTCCTGTTCCTAACTCCAGCAAACAACAATATTAAGGGCATAAAAGTGACCATTCAAAGAGCACCTTGTTTTCAATCAAATAATCTGAAACAAGGGAGATTTGAAAAATGAAAATAGAAAAGTGGCAATAACTTATTTTATAGTCACGATCACAAAAATAGAAGACAAACACTCAACTTCGCCAACAAGGAAATATTCAAAGGGAAGAAAAATGATGGAAAACACAGTCAAGCATTTCAAACTCGACGAGGCAGAAGCCAATTAAATATATGGCGTTCACATTCCCCAACTTGGCATATTAAAACAAAAGAACTCCTCGAGCTAGAAGAATCGCATGCATAGACAGAACTCGAAAGACAGAGATTACTTCATGGATTATCATACAGAACCACACATCTCGAACAAAAAAACCCACCGGACGCAGATTGCAACACGGTTTGCATTGAACTGTTTCACCATCAATTAGTGAATGAAAGTACTTTAATGGTGATATTCCAGTGAAAATCCACAAAAACCTCAGTCTACAGTACTTACATTTTTGTCACAGCCAGGAATCGATATATTGCCGTCATACCATTGCGCACTCATGACCGTCTCTATACTATCAGCGATCAAATCCCTTGACTGCAAGCTAAAGCACATTCCTCGAGTCCCCATGGAGATAGCATCACTAACACCGATAGTGTTGAAACGGAACCCCACCATGCCTGCCTCTTGCACTCCCTGCTTCACTGCCTCTGACAGTCTAAGCAGGTGCATATTGCACGTATTTCCCTCGTACCAGACGGACGATATCCCGATTTGAGGTTTAGACATGTCTTCGTCAGATAGTCCCACGCCATGGAGTATTGCCTGAGAACCACCTTGTGATTTAGGTTCTGTGACTCTGGAGCTGTACTTGTTGAGCTTTACGGTGGCGGTTGGCGGCGGTGACGGTTCGGCGGTGACGGAGGGCGGCGATTGCGCCGTGACGCGAAGGGAAGCAGTACGGTTCGTCCGGTGTGTACCATTGCTGGGAAATGAAGGTTTAATGATGGGAGAGACAACTCGGGAAGATAAAAGAGTAGCTTGCATGATGGAAGGCGTTGGCTAGGGAAGGGGATTACTGAAGTGAGTGCTGCTTTTTGTTGGAGAAGAAAATGAGTGACAGACCGAGGAACTAAAAATGGTGCCAGTGGGGGTAGGCTGAGTCTGCCTGTTTGTCGTTTGTTCTGCTCCGTGACTAATTAGGGTTTGGAATTTTGAAAGTGTTGAGATATGGGACGCGGGGTTGTTTTGTTATTTCGATTTTTAGGGTTCTACTGTACGTTGGATATACTTATCTCCTTCTTCGAGTTTCAGATTTTGAATTGAACTTCACTGGTGTTTTTGAATTTAGTTTCTCGATACAGCTTTTTACCCTAGCAAATCTGCAACAGGGAAAATCAAAATTACGTCTAAATAAAATTAAAGTTAAAATGCCTTTTTAATAAATTTAAAAAGAAAACTAATTACCATTTCATTGTTCCCCACCACTTTTCACCGTATTCCGCCGCTGCTGCCGCCACCCGCACACTCACTGCACGCTTACTCACGAATTTTAATTAATTAATATTATTAATTTATTAATATATTAATTTAATTTAATTAATTAATTAAAATTATTTTATTAAAACAACTAAATATAATTTTACCGTTTTAATTTTTTTCATTAAAAAAAATTGACGTTTAAAAAAATAAAAATATATAAATTATAACAATAAAAATATTAGTAACTAAATTGTAGAAAAAAAGTCATATTTTATAAAATAATTTAGTCATTTGTGCTAAAATTATTATTAAAAAATATTTTTAATATAAAATACAAAATTATTTTTACAATTAATATTAAATTTTTACGATCAACATTAATTTTTTTATGAAAATTAGTCTAATAATTTAAATTAGATTGAAATCTTATCCACATGCGCTACAAGTTATCAATAAAAAAGTAGTTAAGTATTCGCATTCTTAACATATTATTATACTTCTATAATTTTTTAAATATAAAATGATCATTTTATTTAAAATAAAATTAAAATAATATAATTTATTTTTATTCAATGTCGTTGTTATAGCTAAATATTTTTATTTTATAATTAAATGAATATATATATCTTCAAATAAATCTTATAAAAATAACAATTTATTCTCTATTTTAAAATAATTTTTATTCTTGTAAGTAGGAATGTTTGTTTGATTATAAAGTTTTAATAGAATTATTGGAACCACTTTATTTAAAGAGAAAGAAAAAGAGAGTATGTGTGTGTGAGAGCGCATACGCGCGCAAATATATTTGATAATTAAAATTATTAGAACTATATTTATAAAAAATAATATGTTAAAAAATTTAACACTTATATATTATTTACATGTCAGGCGAATAAGTTTATAATATAATAATTGTTCGATAAGAACATCATAAAATTACAATTAAATCATAATCAAGTGATGTCATCTGGTTCATAACTATAATTTAACTAATTTTTATATTTGATTTGGTAGCGAATAAATTCAAATAAAATATTAATTAAATGTAAATTATAAATTAATATTTTATTATATTCACGGAAATGTATACTTTTATTAATTTTATGATTATATATTATCGATATTTTTGGCTATATTGAATTTTAAATAGTCACATTTTTAAGTGACAATAACTAATATCATTATACCAATCTCACACCAACATTACAACCAATAATAATAAATCATCACCACAATCATACTCAAATACCACATATACATTGTAATAACTAGAAAAAGAAAACTTGCATGTATGTATAGATGTATAGGTAGGGTGGGAATTTCAGATGTGAAACGGCGTCGTTTGGTGAAGAGGGGGAGGAAAACGAGATCGTTTGAGAGAAACGACATCGTTTGGAGAAGTGGAGGAAGAAACGACGTCGTTTGGAGAAGGGGGAAGTGGACGGTTGGGATGAGGTGAGATGGACGGGCAGGATGAGAGGCTGGTGGGGTATAAATAGGAGAAGGGAAAGAAAAAAAAAGAAAAAAAAAAGAAAAGAGAAAAAAAGAAAGAAAATAGAGAAGAGAGAGATCGGGGGGGAGAGAATGTGAGAGAAAAAGAGAGAGAGAGAGAGAGAGAGAGAGAGAAAGAGAGAGGAGCTGGATTGGAGAGAAACGAGAAAATAGAGTGAACAGGAAGGAGGACTGAAACAGTACGAGCTACGGGAGGAAGGAAGATGGAGATGGGAGGTACGGTAAAATTTTGAGTTCTTGTATAGGTGTGGAGTGATTTCGAAATTGTGATTTTAGGTTGAGAAATATAGGTTTTGGTTAGTATGTAGAGTAACGGAACTAAGATGTAAAGACAGGTGGGTGTGGATGGCAGGTTGAACAGTGGAGGCGTTCACGGAGGAGGCCGCGGGAAGAGAGAGAATGAAGACGTTGGAGAGTGGGAGAGGTCCATGAGAGAGGGTATATATTTTATGTAAAATGAGTGTAAGCACATGGTGAAGGTCGCGGGAAGAGAGAATGAACGAGGAGGTCGGTGAGTGAGTGAGATCCGGGATGACAAAGAGAGTTTGTGTGTGTGCGAGCAGGGTGCATGGAGGAGGCCGCGAGAGGAGAGAAAAGGAATAATGCATTTAGTGAGTGTTCTGTGAGAGAGATGAGTGTTCGTGATGGTGAGTGTGTGAGTTGTGATATTTTGAACAGGCCTTGGGAGGTAGAAGAATAAGGAAAGCGGGGTGTGAGGTCCGTGAGAGAGAGGAGAGTTCATGACTGTGTAAGGGCTCTTTAGAGTGGGCTGTAGAAGAGGAGTTTGATGTGTGTGAAGAGATTCGGGTAAGAGGAGAAGGGCGGTATGACCGTAGGGAGAGGTAGGTATAGAAGGGGAGGAGAGTGTAGATGCTATAAATTGGGAAAGGAAAAGAGAGGCCTGTAAGGCGTGGTTTAAAGTATAGGAATAGGGGTGTGTTGGCAGTTATGTGGTGTGAGAGTGTGGGTTGGATATAGGTTGGTATAACTGCTGTAAATTTAAGGGTTGGCAAGGGAACATTACCAGCGTATGTGTGAAACGTTAGTGTGTGTCATATGGGGAGATGTGTGTAGGGTCGGTACACCGGGTAAAGGAATAGGGGAGTCTCAAGATAACATGGTGAAGCGAGTACAGGATGGTATGGTCCTTGAGTGGGTAGCATTGGGAGACGCCGATATTGGTGGTCGTTACCTAGAAAGAGTAAGTTGATTGTCGATAGTGGTGATGGTCGGGAGACCCCGACAGGCAAGGGGTTGAGTCGCCGATGTTGGTGACGGGAGATGATAGTATCTCTGTGTGTGTGTGGCCTATTAGGGGTCGAGAGGTAGAAGATTGAGTGTTGGTCACTGATATTGGTGATGAGTGAGAACATTTGTACTCATGGGGTGACTTCGGAAGGCGGTCATATTTGATATGCAATAAAACTAACTTACCGAGACAAGTTGATTTTGTGTAGTCCCATAGTGGTACTAAAGTATGACTTAGGTTGTATAAATAGGATACCTATGGGAATACTAGATTTTCTGTTGTTGCATGTACTACTGGTAACCATAACTAGAGTTTCGGGATAAGTTAGTGATGAATAGTCCTAGGGTGGCTCTAAGGTATGACTTAGGTTGTGTAGATAAAATGCATATAGACATACTGAATTTCCTGTTATTGTATATTATACTTGAAACTTGATTTTTACCGTATTGAGTTATGTAAACTCACTCTTTATCATTAATAGATGAAGTAGGGATGGAGCCGGGATCTGAGTTACTGATTTCCGAGCATAGTATATAGCGCCACAAGGCAATGATTCTTTTTGTGGGTGGATTGTAGTGTGTCAAAGTTTATAGTAGTATGGATAATGTCTACTGGAGGTGTATAAGATTGTATTATCTTATGATGTATATGTAGGATTGCAAGTTTATATTGAGTTTGAATAATAAAGTGTGGAAAGGTTTCTTTATGTGTGATTGATTTGGCATGAGACTTGCGTGTTGGGTTATGGAATTGTCTTAGATTGCGTCGTTAAAGAAAAAAAAAACAGGGCGTTACACATGTATATTTAACACACATGCAAGTTAATTCAATTTAAAATACTGATAAACAATCAACATCTCCATACTGTTTTCAAATACACAATCACACTTATATTGCACACACACACTCACTGTTCTTTATCCTACCTTCCTAATCCGTTTTTCTTTCAGTCAACAATCCACCCCCCACCTGCACACCTGCACCTCTTTCAAGTTTCCCTTGCTCTCAGTCTCTCTATTCTCTCACCTCTGCCTTTCTCACCTAGAACACTTTTCTCTCTATCACCATCAACCACACGTAAACCCCTACGCGTCCATCAAAACCCATTCCCTACATTCTGTTCCACCTCTCTCTCTCTTTCCTGTCTATTTCCTCACACCAATACCCTCTCCAGACACTATTTCCGTCTCAATTCTCCTTATGCAACCCGATTTCGGTTTCCCTATCTCTCCCTTCTCCCTAGGACTCATTAGAGCCTACACACCTACTCATTCTCTCTTTCTGCTTAATACTCACATCTCTTATCTTCTTCTCCTCTAGTAATCGTCTAAATTTTACTCTTTCGCACATATTTCGTGTAAGAGCTCTTCCTCTCCCCCGGCTCACCCTTCCTGTTGTAACACCCCACAGATTTTTCCACTCTTTTTCACTCACAGTCCTAATCAAAGCTTTCAGTAATCATAATCCCTTATTTGCTCTCCTATCCCTTCAAAAACTGGCCTCCTCCGATTCCCTCTGTCGTCTCTACTACACCGTAGAGACTTAAATGCCAAATGCCATTTCTATGTTTGAAATTCAAATTCACAATACCTTCGGTCTTCATCGTTCTGTACACCGTCACAGCTCACTCACTCGCCCTAATTGTCTTCTCCTTCTCCAGCTCCATCTCCCCTCCTCGACCGACTCCTCCTTTCCTCTCTTCTCGTCTCTTCCTTCTCCATCTCTCTCTCTCTCGAATCTTCTATCGACAACCTCCTATTTTTCCTTCTTGTTCTCCTTTTTTTTTATTCTATTTATACTTCACCTGCTAATCATCCTATCTGTCCATTTCCATCTCACAATCTGCACCGTTCCTTCTCACCCCTCTCCCTCTTCCATACATATATATATATATATATTATTATTATTATTATCATTCATTTTTTTTATTTTCTTTTACAACTCAAAAACTCAGTTATTACATTAAATTATTTATTTTACTTATAAAAATTTTATTCTTTAATTTATTTCACAGCTTTGCTCATAAAAATTAATTTTTTACGTGGTTAATTTGGTTAAGGTAAGTACGTACATACATACATATATCGTATAACTTGTATATACAGAAAATTCAACCCCACTACATTGCCGAGAACCTTTGTGGTATTCCTCATAAACCGCTCTTATTATGGAAAACCAAAATTTACATGCATCCCCCACACTTTAAGTTAATCATATATATATATATATATATATATATATATATATTACATTATATTATTTAATTTTTAAGTAAAAATTATAATTATAATTATAATTATATAATTGAGCATTCAAGTTTTATGTCAGCCTTTCAAAACTGCGAGCTTTGGGTCACACTCTTTCATCAAACCAACCCATCTAATCCCTCACATGTACGGTTAGATCACCTTAAATTTATATTATAATTATAATTAAATACGTTTGATTGTAAAAATAAATTAACTGCTGCTACATTTAATTAAGTAATGGAGATATTAAATGAGCGAAAATTAAACGTATAAGATAATTAATTATACTATTAATTAACGTGAAATTGATATAGCATACAAAAATTAAATTAAATTTGATTGGCTGGTGGAGTTTGGTGCGGTAAGTGATAGAAAGAGCGGATTAGGAAACTGGGTTTCCAAATTCTATGGAGGTTAAGACTCGAGAAAGGAAAGTATTACTCATCACGTGCCAGTCAGCTCAGCCGGTTGGTACATATTACAGTATTGCATTGGTTAGGCACGTGATCTCCCCTTTCTAGCTACCCACTTACAATCACTTACATATATATGTACGTATATATATATATATATCAACATATCTATCATCGTTTCCATGTCCATCAAAACAATTTTTTCTTTTCTGGGTAGCTGATAATTAAGGTTGAAGAAGGAGAAGAAAATGGTGAGCAAGAGTGTAAACGTGGGCGAAGTCCGGCGAGCACAGCGAGCAGAGGGGCCGGCCACCGTGCTGGCGATCGGCACTACTACTCCTCCCAACTGCTTGGACCAAAGCACTTACCCGGATTACTATTTCCGTATTACAAATAGCGAGCACCGGACTGATCTCAAAGAAAAATTCCAGCGCATGTGTAAGATACATAATATATATATATAACCATAAGTTATCAAATTAATTACACCATAATCATCGTCATCATTTTCTTCTTCTCATTTTCTATGAACTCTTTAAACCTGCAGCTATTATATATTCATATACAGACAAAGGCTGTGTGTTTCACCCGTGTGATATTTTTGGTTTGAGCTCTGAGTTATAGTTATCTTTATCAATTAAAACAAGGGTTCTCCATTAACTGAATGGTACCAGTACTGAGTTAAATGATAATTAATATGAATAAATCATTGAAATATGAGATTTTTTAAAGAGAAAAATCAACTTCATGAAGAAGTCATTCAGGAAGAAATATATATTGAGAAATCAAAGGAATATATATTACCACGCATGCATGCATTTGGGTTAACAGTTTTTTCATGGATAGTTTAATTTTGGATCATGAATTTGATCAGGTGATAAATCGATGATCAAGAAGCGTTACATGTACTTAACGGAGGAGATGCTGAAAGAAAACCCTAACATCTGTGCTTACATGGCACCTTCCTTAGACGCTAGACAAGACATGGTGGTGGTAGAGGTACCTAAACTGGGCAAAGAAGCTGCAAAAAAGGCCATTAAAGAATGGGGACAACCCAAATCCAAGATCACTCACTTGATCTTCTGCACCACTAGTGGCGTCGACATGCCCGGAGCCGACTACCAGTTGACCAAACTTTTAGGCCTCCGTCCTTCCGTCAACCGCCTCATGATGTACCAGCAAGGCTGCTACGGCGGAGGCACCGTACTCCGGCTCGCCAAGGACCTGGCCGAGAACAACAAAGGCGCTCGAGTCCTCGTCGTCTGCTCAGAGATTACAGCAATGACCTTCCGCGGACCTAACGACACCCACCTCGATAGCCTTGTAGGTCAAGCTTTGTTTGGAGATGGAGCGGCTGCAATTATCGTGGGTTCAGATCCTCTCGAAGTGGAGAACCCATTGTTTGAATTAGTCTCTGCGGCGCAAACCATTTTGCCAGATAGCGATGGGGCGATCGACGGGCATGTTCGAGAAGTTGGTTTAACATTTCACCTTCTAAAGGATGTTCCCACACTGATCTCAAAAAACATTGAGAAGAACCTGGTTGAGGCACTCGAGCCATTGGGTATCACGGATTGGAATTCGATTTTCTGGGTCGCTCATCCTGGCGGGCCTGCAATTTTGGATCAGATAGAGGTTAAGCTCGGGTTGAAGCCAGAAAAATTGCGGGCGACGAGGCATGTTTTGGCGGAGTACGGGAATATGTCAAGTGCTTGTGTGCTGTTTATTTTGGATGAGATGAGAAGAAAATCTAGAGAGGAAAAGTTGAAGACAAGTGGAGAAGGATTGGAGTGGGGGGTATTGTTTGGGTTTGGGCCTGGACTCACTGTTGAGACTGTGGTGCTTCATTGTGTGGCGAATTGAGTTAGTTTCCTGTTTGGTTGGTTGATTTTGTGCTGTTTGTTTTTTCACTTTCCTGTTTAGGAAATGTTTGTGTTCAAGGAGATTGAAATGTGCAATAAGGAGGCGCTAGTATGATGATGAAGAATCCCCTAGAAAGGATGGAATCAATACTAGCGTAGTGAATAATTGTTTTTGATGGAAAACTTAATATGTTGGACAATGAAATAAAAACGTAAAGATGAATATGGGAAGTGTAATTTGTTAATATATCAATATATAAAAGAATGTTGTAATAAATGAATTAGTTATTAATGTGTTTAGAATTTCTTTTTGAAAAGTATTTATTATTTTGAAATGAATAATAAAGTATAAAACAATATATATTATAAAAGAGATATACAAAATGATGTACATATAATAGAACAAAAATATATAAAAATATAAAACATCAAGAGTGTTTTCCAACACTTAAAAAAAGTGAAGTCTACTGGTTTGTACGTCAACAATACAACAGCGGAAATGGAAACGAGATCTAAAATTTCACTAACATAGTGCTCAGGCACAAAGTGAACTATAAACTTTGAATCATAACATACACATTATTCACATAGATTATCTACTGTAAAAGACCTTATTATACGTAGAAACTAACTATACTAATAAGATACTCAATTTATAACAAAGTCCTTAAACATAAGAAATGAAAAATATTAACTCATACAAAAAAAAAGTAATATAAACCTTAAGTAAAAAGAAACAATATTATGTAATGCAATGCTAAGTGACGAAGAAGAAGAAATTATGTGAAAATACCACTTTGTCTAAAGTAATAAATCAACAAGAGCAGTAAGTATCTAAATTAACAAAATAGTAATAGAAAATATAGTTTGGATCTTGTATACACACACATTCACTACTATTCATACCCCAAGGAATTAAAGTAGGTTGTAATACCTCATACCTAAATACCCTTACCCCAACCATCTGTGTGACCAAAATCACTTATACCGAAAAGTTTAAACTCAAATTATTATTATTACTATTATTATTATATAACATAAGCATTTTTATGAAGCTAAACAATAATATATTTTTCTGATTAATGATTGATTTATCACAATCTCTATCATTTAAATCTTTGATATTTGTACAAAAGTCACGTATCATACAATCTCAACTCACAATGCAAAGACTTATAATGTTGAATATCGTACTAGTTAGGGTACTAATTATTTAATATTATTAAAATGCTCACAGCCCAAATACCAGTGGTTAACAATATTTTTGACTCAAATCAATTGGTGTTCAATACTTTAAAGTTAAGTTATTTGTAATATGTAACTTAAGTTTTTCTATAAAATTCAACAATCATATATATTTATAATATTAGATTATGATATTACATAGATGATCTATACTAAACTAATAGTTATAAGAACATATACATCATAACAAGTTTCTCGAATCTTCCAATTGCTTAAAAGTAGACAGTAATACACGATCATCTAACAAACACCAGTTCATAGTATTTATATATTTTTCAAAATTTATATACCAAAGGGAGTAAAAATTTTTCAATAATTGAGTCATTTTTCAATTCTTTTTTTTTTTTGTGAAATAAGAACTTTATTAAGAATACAAATACATTATAATCAAAGAGTAAAATTTGATAAAGATAAATTGAATATTTCACAAAATAAAAGTAATTTCATTTCAACATATTTAACATCATATAGATATTTTATTTGTCATAATAATACATAAAAAATAAAAGAAATATTTTTTTACTGAAAAATTAATATTAAGTAGTAATTGCATAGTATTTGAATAATTTTAGAATTGATGTGTCTTTATTTGTAGTTTTATTATTACAATCAATGTGATATATATTCAAAATAATGATTAATTTTATTATGGTTCACTATTAATTTTTTTTTTTGAAAGACAATGTTAATAGATTATTATTTTATATTATATGATCGGCGACTTATATCAATAATAATATTGTATTTATAAATATAAATTATAGATATGCATGCATATATATATATATATATAATAAAATTAAGACTCAGTCCTTATAACATAAAAATATTTTTTTCTGCCAAAAAGTCAAAGTAAATTAACACAGTTTTCTTTTAGAAAAACATAAAAAAAATGAGTAGAAATAAATGTAGAGCAAACATAAAAAGTAACACAGTGAGGAATAAATATTATCATTTATAATTATTATAATAATAGTTTTAAGCACTCCCGAAAAGGAATTATTATTACACTTAATAAAAATGGCGAGTAACATCCAGCATTGATTTTTAACTTTTACTTACCATTTTGACATAATCGATGCGAGTTTTTAGCAACCCCGGGGGAAACAGAGCTGATGTGACCATTTACAAGGGATAGAAAACGGCGTCGTGTTGTTAATATTATCTCCATGGGTAATCTGGGCAAAAAGTAGATCAGCAAAAAAATAAAATAATAATAATAATAAATAAATAAATAACTTATCTCGAGCTTTAATATTATCATAATTCTAGTAGTTTGAAAGCTTGTTAATTATTATTTTTTAATTTATGATATTAATACTAATAAATAATCGAATCGATTCATAAGGACGAAGAAATTTTATAAACAAAAAGGAATTAAGAAATTACTAGATTAATGAATTACAAAATTCTTGATGTTATTTCTCTCTGAGTAATTTAATTTATTTTTATAAATATTCAAATTGTATATTCTTTTACGTATATGATATTGTATTCTTTCCTTATACATGCATATTGAATTAATACTTTGACTTGTCTGCGGGAGACTACCATGAATGTATATCCCAGGGGTGCATATATATAGGTAGAAGAAGCTAATTGAAAGGGACCATGTATACAATTTTTATAAATGTAAATTAGTAATATATATATATATATATATATATGTGTGTGTGTGTGTGTGTATATATAGCTTCCCTGTTACTGGTACCGGAGATCAAACATATATACTACGTCACGATTCCAACATCTTTAATGGAATTTGTCAAGTTCTTCACTTAATAATATCATCTATTCATTTTGTTAGGTGAAGAGTTACTTTATTTATATACATTACTTAAGCTACTGGTAACAGATCGTTTTCTTTTAAAAAGTTTGAATATTTCACTTTGGTTGTATTCCATATATTCTTGTTTAGGGTTTATGTCTTATATAATAATTAATGTGTCTCTATATTTAATTTATATTTATATTTTTAATAAAAAATTATATTTACTTTCATACGCGGAAAGGGGAAGAAAACAGGAAAAATACGTTTATAAAATATGATTATTCAAAAACTATACATAATACGATTTTATCGTAATGTACCTTTTTTAATCATTCTTCTTTTGATAAATAGTTATTAGTTATTTTTTTTACTCGTGTAAAAACAAGTATAGTTTATGAATCTTGTATGGATAATCCGATGAACTCTAAATCAGTATGTACATAAAGAGTATTGGTTGATCCATCTATCTTAATTCCAAAATTATAATATAACGATAGATGATCAAGTTGAGTAGAATAGTATTAAAGGAGTGTGGTTTTTGCTATCATAGGGTATTTTTAAATTCAATACTGATGCATCGGTGGGACCTAATGAGTAGATTAGATGGATACATATATACATATATATATATATAATATTTTATTTTATAAGTTAGTTATCGGTTTAACAATATATAATAAAAATTTGTATGTAGAGATAAGTATATTTAAATTATTTGAGTCACAAGTAGCAACCATAATATAATGGTTTACAAATATATTACTTGTAACACCCCGTTTTTTTTTCTTTCTCCTAATGGCATAAGATAAAGCACTCCTACGACTCGACACGTAAATCCCATATCATTCAAATTATGCATAAGAGAAACTTGTCCATAGTTCATTATTCCAAATCAATTGTACATACACCTCCACCTCTACATCACATGGCAACACATTATCATACATTTCCAGAAATCAATATCCATACTAAGACACCTTTTACAAACTACTTTATGCCACAAATAAAACTTGTGCCCTATGGCACTACAGACTGGGCTCCGTTACCAGCAACTCGAATCCCGGCTCCGTTCCTACTCCATCTGTAAATGATGAGAAGTGAGTTCACATAACTTAATACGATAAAAATCAAGTTGCAGGTGTAGTATGCAGTGATAAGAAATTCAGAAATGTCTATATGCAATTATCCTACCCAACCCAAAACAAATTATAGAACTCCCCTACAACTAGCCATCAAGATCCTACCCCAAAGAAACAATTCGGGCAATCAATAGCACACACACAACAACAATCCAACACCTCACATCATCAACATCGGCTACCCCCACTCACCACACTATTTCACAACCTTACTAGACCACCCACACACACAAGTATCCTTAGCTCACGTCACCAACATCGGCGACTCATACTCTCTCCTCCACCGCTCAACCTCATGAGGCCACGCACACACACAAGTACCTTCATTTCACGTCACCAATATCGGTGACCCATATTCTCTCCTCCACCTCTCGACCTAAGTAGGCCACGCACACACACAAGTACCATCATCTCACGTCACCAACATCGGCGACACATACTCACTCTTCCACTTCTCGACCTTATTAGGCCACGCATACATACAAGTACCATCATCTCACGTCACCAACATCGGCGACTCATACTCACTCCTCCACCTCTCGACCTCATTAGGCCACGCACACACACAAGTATCATCATCTCACGTCACCAACACCGGCGACTCATACTCTCTCCTCCACCTCTCGACCTTATTAGACCACACACACACATAGGTATCATCACCTCACGTCACCAACACCGGTGACTCATACTCTCTCCTCCACCTCTCGACCTTATTAGGCCACACACACACACAGGTATCATCACCTCACGTCACCAACATCGGCGACTCACACTACACCTCACCAACGTGCTCCTAATCTCCCATCCTAAACTGCACGCTACCAACTACCCTTGCGCCACTCTAATCCCAAGCAACTACACTCTCTGCCCCCCCCCCCCCTCTCTAACTTACCAGCCCCTACTGTTATATTACACCTCTTCCCTCATCCGAACCCCATCAATCCTTGGTTCCTATATCCTAGTCCTCTCCACCGTACCATCCAGTACTCTTCGCTCACCCACCGCCCTCACGCTCCACTTCTCCTATCCTTCTGCCTCCTCCCGCTTCCTCTATACTTTTGCTTCCCTAAGACGGTTAAAAACCTCTCGACTCGCACCGTCTCAATCCGTACACTCACCCCTCCCACCGTACGCTCAGTGAATACGTTGCCTTCTGCTCGCGACTCCCTCCGCGCCTCCACCCACGCACTCACTAAATTGCTCACTCACTCTTCCTCCTAGTGGTCCTCCCTCTGTACTACACGCACAACCTCCATTTTCCCCCACGGTTCCCCGTACGCCCCAAACATCGCCATACTTTCGCTTCCCCCGGCCTCCTCCGCGAACGTGCGGAATAATCCCACACTCTACCGCCTACCTCCACCTCTCAACTCCGTCACACCAACTACGGACTCCGCAACTTGCAAAAAAAATCACAACTCACACCACACCAAAGCAACTGAAATTTTCACCGTACCTCCCGTTTCCATCTTCCTTCCTTCTGCCGGTATCGTCGTCCGTCCACGGTCTCTTTCCCTCTCCCTTCTCGCTCCCCTCCGTTCCGACCGTCTCCTCTATCCTTCTGGAACTTTCCTTCCCTTCTTCTTCTCCGCTCTCTTCTTTCCCTCCTTTTCTCTTTTTTTTCTTCCCTCTTCTCCCTTTCCCGACCTTCCTTTATACCCTACTAGCTTACTCAAAACGATGTCGTTTTCCTTCATCCCAAAACGACGTCGTTTTTTTCCTCTTTAAAACGGCGTCGTTTCCTACTTTTATATATATATATATTTTTTGTTTCTAGTCATTACATTACTAAAGTGCGATTCAATAATTATTTATTTTTAATTGTCTAATTTATTAGTGCATAACTCTAAAATGAATCTATTAGTTAAAAACATTTTATGATTAATTTTACGTCTTATTTTATTTGCATCTGGAGATATTCTTAGAACTTATAATTAGGTTGCTCTTATATTGGCTACGGGAGACAGTATGCTACATGAATGAATGTTTTTTTCGGAGCCACCTGATTTTCTGACTTCCTACATTTGCAGAATGATTAGTGATTAATTATATGATTTATTTTAAAAAAAGATACACATATATATTTATATATATATATAAAAGAGGGAATAACATCATTTCAGGTAGGCTTAGCCAATTAGGTATGGGAAAAGTGGAACAAAATTGTGTAATTGATTACCCAGATGCCCGGCTATCTTGTGAGGATTCCTCCCAATTTCAACCTCTTAATTAACCAATTTTTTGAGGTTCAATTAGTCTAATATTTATAGATTTAGTCAATTAAACTCAATATCTAATAAAAAAAAATATATCAAATATTAATTATGGTACTTAAATAACCCACTTAGCAAAAACAATTTCCACTAAGCACTGGGATATTATTTCCTAAATTTGTATTTACTTAAAATATCTAGTTATTAATAATAACAAAAGAAGGATATAATTTAGAAGCCTCTTTAATGCCATATTTTTATTTTAATTTTTCAAATACTGATTTATTATTATTCTTATGAAAAATTAAATATTATATATTAATCATACGGCAAACAAAAGTCTAATTTAAAATGTTGAGCCTAAAGCAAAAGTGACTTTTAAGATGATGATAAAAAAAAAAGTGAGGATAATAAGACAAAAAGCGAGTGGCTGAGGCTCAATCCAAAACCGACAAATTAAAACGAATCGGGTTGGATTCTTGAGGTGGTTGGCTAGAGGGCCAGGCCTCGTGCCCCATATTTGAAAACTGTAGCAGCCGGTCAGCCAATCAATTTTCGTAATTAAATATGAATTAACCATGCTTATTTTGTCCGTTTCTGAATTAATTAACCACGTTTAATTTCAAATTAAATTTAATTAATTAGGGAAATTGGAAAGCAAGTTCCCCCCTTTCTTGCCTCACATGGCTACCTTCCCATTTTGGACCGTCTCTGATCTCTCACTTCAATTTCTTCTCTCTCTCTCTCTGTTTTGTATGCCTTTCAACCTTATCTGTTCAAACCACAGGAAGAAAAGATATACGTAAAAAGACCAAATAAAACAGTAATTCAAGAAGGAATTTTTTTTTTTCCTATCTCGAAAACAAACCTTAGCTTCAGTCAGATTCGCAGAGAGATAATTACGCTAGCCTTTACTTTTTTTTTTTTTTTTTTCTATTTCATTTGATTTGGGTTTTTTTTTTTTCCTACATATTTCCTCCTTTCTCCCTTCTTTCTTCAACTCTCTAAACTTAGGACGGAGACATGTCAAACTGCTACTTGTTCTAACACCCATTTACTTTGATTCTTCTCTTTTGTGTTATTGCTTTTTGGCAGAAGCAGTTCCCTCCTCCCCCCTTCGCTGTTTACCTTGCTTGGAAGGTGGGGTTTTGTTGCTTTCCTCTCTACCTCTGACTTTCTTGATTCCCTCCCTTCATTTTAACAGATTCCCTTGCTGGACTTTTCATTTCTTATTCTTGGGTTTTAATTTTTAAGTTTTGTTTCGCAAACCCACATGCATGTTCATGGGTTTGTCTGATCTGGATTGGATCACAAGGATCTCTTGTTCCTTCTTTCTATTTGAAGAGTAGTTTGGAGAGAGAGAGAGACAGAGAGTTTGGAGAGAGAGAGAGGTACCGTGCTCTATTTTCTTTTCCTTGTAAAATCTTGGTTACTTGTGGGGATTCATAGAAGCTGGGGAAAAGAAAGGAGAAGGAGGGGGAGAAGGTGAGGTTTCTTGGCTTCCAGGACCTTTTCCTCGGTCCTACTCTCTTAATTCCTTTCTTTTCATATCAGATAGGCATAGCTACGATTGTCTCTTTCTTGGTGTTGTTTTCTTCTGCCATATCGGTGGCCAGTTGAATTGACTGTGTCCCATTTCTGGTAAAGATTGCGCGCAATTGCTCTCATATTCGCCATCATTTGATCAATGAAGAGAGTTTTCTTTTTTACTTTAGGGGGGGTCCCTGGGATTTGGATTGGAGCAGTAATCATTAATGGTATTTAGTTGATTTTGGATATTGGATGATTGAATTGGGTTTTTGATTGTTCGTATTAGTCTGGGGGTGATCTCACCTGCCTATATTACACGTACACACACTAACTCCTGAGGCATGGCGGGGATTGATGTTTCCAAGTATGCCCACAGCCCTGTGCACAGGGCCATTGTTACCAGAGATTATGCCGGTCTCAGGAGGATGCTAGCTGGTCTTCCTCGTCTGTGTAACCCGGCCGAGGTCCGCACTGAAGCAATTTCAATGGCTGAGGAGGAGAAGGCCGATGCAATTTCAGCTATGATTGATAGGCGTGATGTTCCTAATCGTGATACGCCTCTTCATTTGGCCGTCAAGCTCGGAGATGAAACTGCAACTGAAATGCTTATGGCTGCTGGTGCGGATTGGAGTTTGCAAAACGAGCAGGGATGGAGTGCTCTGCAGGAGGCTATTTGCAACAGAGAAGAGAAGATTGCCATGACTATAGTCAGGCATTATCAGCCATTGGCATGGGCAAAATGGTGTAGAAGGTTGCCTCGTTTGGTGGGGACTATGCGAAGGATGAGAGACTTCTATATGGAAATTACTTTCCACTTTGAGAGTTCTGTCATACCCTTCATTTCTAGGATTGCTCCTTCAGACACCTATAAGATTTGGAAGAGGGGTGCAAATCTGAGGGCAGACATGACTTTGGCTGGATTTGATGGATTTAGGATTCAGCGTTCTGATCAGAGTATTCTTTTCCTTGGTGATGGGTCTGAGGATGGACAGGTCCCTCCTGGCTCCCTTTGCATGATATCACACAAGGATAAAGAGATTATGAATGCTTTGGATGGTGCTGGTTCTCAAGCATCCGAAGAAGAGGTTCAACAAGAAGTGGCGGCAATGTCTCAGATTAATATTTTCAGGCCTGGGATAGATGTCACTCAGGCTGTTCTTTTGCCACAGTTGACATGGAGGCGTCAGGATAAGACAGAAATGGTGGGTCAGTGGAAGGCTAAGGTCTATGACATGCACAATGTGGTTGTTAGCATTAAATCTAGGAAAGTTCCTGGGGCTATGACTGATGATGAGTTCTTCTCGTCTTGCAATGAAAATGAAGCAGAGAGTGAGGAACTTGATGACATCTTGACAGAAGATGAAAGAAGGCAGCTGGAAGTTGCTCTCAAATTGGATTCATCAGAATTGAATAATGAGAATGCCAATAGTGTTGTTGGGCATCGCCATAGTTTTTATGAGCAGAGGGAGATTCCTATTGAGGATGTGAATGGTTGCAGAAATGGGGAAGCTAAACAAGAAAAGAAAGGATGGTTTGGTGGATGGAGGAAACGGGACACGAAGCCTGAAGTGCAGAAGAAGATTTCACCACCTAGAACTTCTCTCTGTGTAGATGATAAGGTGAGTGATCTTCTTGGGGACTCCCCATCTGGAAGTCAGCCAAAGCCTGGAAGACATTCTGTTGAGGTTATTGTGAGAGAGGAGCATAGGAGAGGAAGAGATTCCAGAATGTCTTCCTCTACAAGTTCTGATGGTGGAAATAGACGGAAGGACGGAAGTCGCGAGAGTGAGTATAAGAAAGGATTGAGGCCTGTTCTTTGGCTTTCCCAAGACTTCCCCTTACAAACTGAAGAACTCCTGCCTTTGCTTGACATTCTTGCCAACAAGGTCAAGGCAATTCGCCGGTTGAGAGAGCTGCTCACATCAAAGCTTCCAGTGGGAACCTTTCCTGTCAAGGTATGTTGCTCATCTAGTGTATCGTAGTTGAAACTTTTCATCATATTGTTCTTTTTAAGTATTATATGTGATTCTGAATTACCACACTTTTTTGGATTAAATTGGGTTTCTGTTAGTGTATCTCTTTCTAAGATCCTACTTTTTTTTCGCTTAATTCGACAGTATTTTCATGTTTGTCTCCTCCCTCTCTATTCATCACAAGAAATACTGCCGTGTTATGTTGTGTATGACCTTTAGATTTGTACCACCCTTTATGGGCACTTATATGTTCAACATTAAACTTTCAGTGGTCATCTAAACATGTTTTGGGGTGCATATCAACAAGGCCATGTAAGCAATATGGCTTATGGTCTGAGTTTTTGGACAAAATGAGTCTAGATAGATTTAAAATTTTAGATATTTGTTTCTTAGGATCTTAGTTCTTGGACTAGATAAAATCAAGAGATACTTAAACTTTTTAGATATTTGTTTTTGTCGTGAAATGCTCTGGAAACTTATTTTACGAGTATTGTGTGGGTCAAGAATTGTGTTTCTGAAAATTTGAGCTCCTAATGTACATATGGGTCCCTGCTTCTAGCTGTTGGATTATTTTTTGGTTCATGCTAGGATGGGGTCATATTTCATAATATTTTCCTTCAAGAAGATATTATTAGACAGAAAGGGAATACTTAGAATGAGGATAAAGTAACCTTTTGCAAAAAGAAACAACGTCAAGAAAGAAACCAAAAGAGAAAAAAAGGTAGAAATTTTCAATATCAAGACAACCTTCCAGTTTGCTAATAAATGGTGACAAATCCCTTATAAAGTCCATATGCCATGACCCACAAAGAGGCCGTACAAATCATTTTGTCCCAAACAGCTCATGTGGGATTAACCCGATGGTTAAAAATTTCAAGCATTATGTCTCCAGCCACAAAACCCAACACCGATGAAGAGGATCCTCTCTATAGCACCATGCTTGGTGATTTCACTATGTTGTCCATCTTGGAAGGGAAACAGTGTGATTACATTGTATAATAAAATAGTGTTGAAACATTTTCTTCTGGTGTTGAACTAGAATGTTAAGTAGAATCTTAGCATGCATTCTTGGTGCTTCTTTTTTTCCCATCTTGTTCTATTTGTATATTCTTCTTCCTTTTTTGATAGAGTTTATAATTGGAACTAGCATCTAGTAGTTTGAGAAATCAGAGTTATGGTAAGATCACTGGGGTTGTTAGGTGGACTAGCCCCCTGAAAATGGATTGAGTTTAATTTCTATGGTGTTGTTGTCTAGTTGTAAGATGCTGTCAACTGGATTGAGCTGGATTTGTGTAGGTTTCAAATTCAGAGTGCTTTGAATCGGAATAAACAGGTATGAATAATGTTACCAGAAGGCGCTCATCTTGGTTCCAGCCAATCAAATTTCTATGCAATATGTTAGTTTATAGGTGCCCTGACTCTCCTATACCCTTTAGAACTAATATTCTGTTTGGTCCTCGCATTAGATTGATCTATGGATATATGTATGGACAAATATGGTACCTTTTACACTATGTTACGATTTCAAATTTACTTTAAAATAATACATAGCTGTACATTTTACACTTTGTTTTAATCTGGTTTTATTTTTAAAAAAATTGTTTTAATCTGGTTAAGATGGGTTGGTTAATCATGAATCTGCAATTCAAAGTTATCTCGTTACCAAGTAAATTATTAACTATACCTAATTAACCATTATAAGAATACTTTAGGTCATTTACTGAAAATCAAATCACTTTTGGGCCATTAATTTGCTTTTGGAGTATGAAATCCAATACTTAATTGTCTATATACTACTCACATATTCTTCATGGATCATTAGGCTCTGAATATGAATTCCTTTCAGTTATTTTTGTTAGTTTAGACATTGTGCCTCCTTTTTTATTTCTTTTCTGGTTGAAATTTCACTATGTCTCTGAACTATTTGCTATGCCTGACTATTTTATTTCTTAATGTTACCAATTTCTGGAGATATATTCTTCTATGGTGCTCAAATTTTCTTTTAAAAGTCCTTATGATACCCTCAAACTTTTCCTCTACTAATCCAAACCATAAGCCCACTCAAGTTCCCCACAAACCCCATGGGCAGGTTATTCAGGTCTGCTCTCCTTTTTCCTGCTTAGTGGATATTTTACGCATGAAACCTGTTTGTACTGAGTTAATGACATCCACAATTGTCTCTGCCATCCTTAGGCTTGAGAACTGTAGGATTTTATGCCTAATAGCCTAATTATTTGATAATGATCAGATGTTATATTTTCATGGAGCACTACTTAGTCTGAATATAGCAACTATTCTATTTGCTTTTATGCGATAAGTGCATAGTTCGTTATTTAAGATGAACAGCAGAGATCTGAGAACATGAAGTGCTTCTGAAACTTACATTAAGTTATTGTTTAGCTTGAGATCTGAGTTAGTAAGCATAGCATCATAAGTTTTAACGCCTATGAGGTCATGGGTATTGCACTGGGAAAGTTGATCAGCAATGAGCCCCAGTTGTATTTATAAGAGATTGGAGTCACAAAAATTTACTAGATCTTACACCAAAGTGGTGAAAGTTGCTGCCTTTACATTGAAGGGTTTTATTTTAACCACTAGAGGTGCAATCTCTGTGGGTCAGACTGGGCCGAAATGGACAACTCGTGTTTGCGGGTTATTAGATATACATGTACAAGAATGTTAGGTAACGTGTACCTACAGCGATTTTGTAATATTAATTGGAATTCCTGGAGCAGCGTTCCTTTCTCAGATGCTTCATATAGTAAGGATTTCTGTTTTGAGTCTGGCCAGGCATTTCTGGTCAAGATCCTGTGAAGGTAGTTGGTAATGACAAACAATCTGTGCATCTAAATTTTGTACTTTCAGTAAGTCTCATATGTTCTGGTTACTCAGGGAGGAAAATTTAAATAATTATGTTTAATTGGCCACTTCTTTTTGTCTTTTTTAGATACTTGAAAAATCTTTTTTCTTGGAAATTTGAAGTACTCCTATCTTGCTGTGTTCTTGCATATTTGTTTTCCTTTGCCTGTAATGGAGAAGTATGCAGCTATACTTGTTCGGTAGCAATTCTTGACAACAATAATAGTCAAGTAGATATAACACACCTAAATTTTTTAATTCCATTTTTACCTTATCTCTTTTTTGACAAGACAAACTTACTGATGGTTCTCATTGATGGAATTTGATACAGTAATTGAAAAATCATCTTTAAAGTTCTGCAATTCTTATTGTATGCCTACGTTGTTTACCAAGGAATCTAACTGTGTAGCTGATCTGAAATGAAAGAAAGTAGTTCTATGAGTCTATCCCAGCATGTGTATCACGTGACCCAATACTCCATTCTCCTTATATTTATACACATGTGAATGCTTATTTCTGGCTAGTAAGATATCATAGGACTGTAAAGATACATCATACTAATCTATCATTTATGTTTTCCTCTTGTTCATTCTCCCTGCTTCCTTTCCTCTCTGTCCATTAAGGAAACTTTTGAAACGTGTTGCTCAGAGAGCTTAGTTACATGCAGGTTGCTATCCCAGTGGTTCCTACCATAAGAGTGCTGGTAACATTTACAAAGTTTGAAGAATTGCAGCCAGTGGATGAATTCTCAACGCCACCTTCAAGTCCAACACCTGCAGGCAGGGATAGCCCAGCAATAACACCGTCCTCTAGTTCATCCTGGTTTCAGTGGATAAAAACCCCATACAGCCGGCCCAGCTCATCTACCGGTGGTTGCAGTAGTAGGATAGAAAATATCCAAGATCCATTTGCAATTCCCCCGCACTACACATGGGTAAGTGCAGAAGCAAAGAAAAAGAAGATGCAGGAGAAGAACAAATCAAAGAAAGGGAGAGGTCAGAGCCAATGACATGTTGTTTTACTTCGCGCGAGCAAGCAAGTGTTATAGCAGATAGCTAGGGAAAATAGTGGTTTCAAGAGCCAAATGAAAGTTGTTGAGGAAAAGTAAAATAGTATTGTTTGGGGGCATATGCTTCTATATTGAAGTAAATGAAATGTGGTATATTCATTGTGGGGGGGTGCAGAAAGAGAGAAAAAAGAAAAATTTGTGATTCTTACAACCATTTAGGTTATACATTGGCTTTCTTGTGGGTGTTAACTAACTTCTTTCTTGTTGGTTCATGTGCTTCAATCAAAATTAGGTGATTTTTATTTTTAAATTTTGATTCACCTAAAAAGTAGGATTAACTTGCAGGTTATATATACTCAAAAAGTCTTATTCTGCTCCTGGGAGGGCAATTACATATATATATATATAAAAAACTAAAGTGATTTTTTAACTGATTGCATTCACGGATTTAAGATCGCGTGTAATGATTAGTGATTAAGAGAATCCTGATAAACAAGTAAAAGAAAGTTTCAACACGATTTTTGGCTTTTGCAATAGCATTTCTTCAACTTCATAATTGCACTCATGCTTGCTCTACTCTCAAGCAAACAAACCCAATATTCCTATAATAACTTTTAAAATTTTGATTATTTCATTTTATAAACTTGTAAGTTGGTGTTCGTGAAAATAATAATATAACTAAAAGAATTTAAAATCTTTTCTTTTTCTATCTTGTATTTTCTAAAAACTATTTTGCCAATACTTTTATTATTTATTATATAAATATATAGTTCTTAAATCTCCTGTAACGGTCCGAAACTTAAAAGGAAATAACTTATAAATTGAATACGGAAGCGAAATAATAAAGTTATGGTTTACATTCCTTACACAATAATTTAGAATATACAATAGGGTTACGAGAATGACCATTCTAAACAAATAAACGAAAAATCAAAGAAATAAATAGAAAGTAAATAACTGGGCATTCTATTCGCAACCCTCTTGTGGATCGAGATCTGGATCTGGATATTGCCATCTTGATCTGAAATGGTTAATGAAAGAGTGAGTTACATAAGCCCAGTAAAAATATCACACTACTCACCGATACAGAAATGAAAGTTGGTAAAAATCATAAAAACAACTAATGGAGCTCTTAATTTAAGTAAATTCGTTTATTATAAATAAAATCATTTATTGCATACTTACCGTAACGAGATTTTTAAAACCAACATATATGAGTAATAATACAAACAACATCATAATCTCATATTCAATTAATTAGAATAACAACTTTTTTTTTTATCTGCTTATTGGTATTCATGGGATCCATAGGGATGTTCCTACTACACATGAACTTTAATTCAACATTGTCAACTAACCGGCCGTCCTCATACCCCGTCCGGTGTGAACACTAAAAATACCATCTCTCAATACCCCGTTTGGTATAAGGATGAAACAGGTTGTCCTCATACCCCGTCTGGTATGAGCGCCAAAATATCAATTCTCTATACCCCATCTGGTATGAGATAACGTTCATGGCAGGGTTCCCTATGTACCCGGTCTCTCCAACATCTCTCAGGATATCCAGTGAGACTACCATTCATTTATTCACCTAATCAAGCAATTCCCGATTTACATTTAATTTCTAATTTCACAATTTAACTGTAAATCATGCAAAATAAGCAATGCATGCATTAAGGAAACACAACTGAATTATCTTACCAACTCCAGCGTATTATTATGCATTTAAAACTGTAAAATCAATCAATTAATTAAAACAGGATAAATAGTGATAAATAACTAGGTATGCCTCAATTAGTAACCTATAATTAATTATCGAAGTTTTTTAAATTATGCAAAACGCCGTATTATTTATAATTAAACTTCAATTCCATAACAGAAAATAAGGTGAAAGATTTTTACCCGAATCGGTGTTTGAAATACTAAACTTTCATATGCGCCTACTAGCGGTCCCTAAGTCCCTTGAATTTTTATTCGGAGATTAAAACACGTTTTAAGTATCTAAAAATACTCCCAAAATTCAGAAATCTGCGTTAAAAATCTTTTCTGGCCAATTTCAGAATTCTGGCACAGTGACACCGCCGTGCTCCGGCGACGACACTGCCACCTGTGGCGGTAATTTACCTCGGACTGGCCGTTTTTGGCCAGTTTTGATCGATTTTGACCGATTTTATTCTCATCCATACAAAAAACACGTTGAGGGATCTCGATTGGTCGAAAAAAGTAAAAAAAAAAAGAAGTTAACAACGGCAGAGTTTTCCGATGCGGCGGCTCTGCCGGTTCACCTTCGCGGTTGGACGTTTTTCTTCGATCAACTTGTAGATAACAGAATGGTAAATACAATGGTAGAAAAATCGCACAAAACGGGAATTAAGAAGGGCCTCATCGGAGGCAGTTTTTGATTTTTTTTTTACGGCAGCACTACTAAACTTTACCCACGATTTTCGGCTCATCCGCCGGTGTTTTTGCTCCGATTTAGCCATGGGAGTGTTCAAAATAAAATTTCGAGTGAACGAAATTTTTCTTACTTTTTTTGGCGGTCGGAGGTAGCTCCGGCACGGCGGCGAGCGGTGGTCGACTCCCTTATTAGGCGATTGGTTCTTCTTCTCTGGCGAGAGGCTAGCAGCTAGGGTTAGGGTTCGGTGTGAAGTGAGATATTTACACCCGTCTTTTTTTAATCTGAACCGTTCATCGCATTTGATCTTGACCGTTCGATCACGTTTAAAGAAGAAATGAATCTGGATCGTTCATCGCGATTTGTTCTGGACCATACGATCGCATTTAAATAGAGAATGAATTTAGACCGCTCATCGCATTTAATCGCGACTATCCGATCGCGCATGAGGATGGAACGGATCTGGATCGTCCACGCGTGCGGGAACGAATCCGGACTGTTCGATTGTAAGCACGCAGATTACCAGCGTGGCCTCCCACGTGACACCGAGTCAACATGCCTTGCCACGCGACACATTCCGGTTTGTCGAGACTGCTGACTGAGCGGTCTCACGTGATATATTTTTTTTAAATTACGTTTTGACCATCAGTTTTCAATTTTTTTTAAAAAAAATATCTCTCGAACCCAAATTTTTACTCATTTTTTTTAATTTTTTAATTAAATAAAAATTTAAAAATTTAAAAATTATATTTTTATATATTAATTTTAATTTTTAAAATTAATTATGAACCAGATTTCAGAACCGGTTATTATATTCCCTCATCATTAAACACAATTATAAATATATATAGATTTAGAAAACCAAAATTTTAGATAATAATAAAAATAATATTACCTCTAGAGATGTTCTCAATTTCATTGGATACTGCAAATGCAAGAATTGCTGCTTACAGCTACTCCAAGTTCTCCATCTTCTGACACACTGTTTTCACCGTGAAACAGAAATTCATTTTATGTTAATTAATATTTTTTAATTCCTTATAACAGAAATTCCAATATAATTCATTAAAAAAAAAATTGATATTTTTTTCTTTTTTTGAGAAAACCTGTGTTCGAACTCGTGTACATGAGCAATGTCTTTGCCGTGGGCATCTGACCAGCTTACTTTTCTTCTTTCTCCTGCCCTACGACTCTTGACTTCATTCTCCTGCAACTTACCACTACTTTTCTTCTTCAGATTACTCTTGAGGTTGATGGGGGGGCTTTCAACGTGACAGTGGAACCCATTAGAATCATTGCCGTTGCCGTTACCGTCATCTCCGTCGCCATTGCACTGATTACCCAAATAATCTTTGTTTTCTCCACAAGACTGCTTGATCTTGACGTTTCTACTGACGATTTCTTGATTATCTCTGCCGTTAATATTTCTTGAGGAGACATAGCAAGAGCACACCAAAGCAGTGCAACTTTTCTTCACCGGCGCCGCCAGCTCTGATCCTTCCTCCTCCTGTTTAAATTATTGATACCATGATACACTGCGGGAACTCTGTATGTATATATGTATATGTGGGTGTGTGGGTATATATATATATATATGTGGGTGTACTGGTATATGATGAAACGAGATGGAATGGTAAGAAAGACAAGGAATTAAGAGGAGAAAGATAGAAAGAATGAATATGTAAATGATTAAGGGATGTTTTTTAGAATGCAGCACTCCATTACTGCTGCGAAAGATAAAGGATTTGAGTGGAGTCTTTTGACTGTTTTGATGGGGATGCTATTCATTTTTTCTTTTTCCCCACCTATATATATGTGTGTGTGTATATACATATATATATATATATATATTCTTCTTTTTCTTTTATGTTGGCTTTTCGTTGTGAGAGCCTGCCATGCAATCATGAAGATGCGATGGTAAAAGAGAAAAATGATTCTTTGGTCCGTAAGCAATGATGAATTCTCAAACATTTTATGATTTATTGATATATTTTGTTTTTAAGTAAAAATTTAAAATATATTAATCATATTAATGTTATTAAATTAATATTTCGCGCAAAGTAATAGTGAATCTATTAGTTTTATTCAACTAAAATAATAATTTCGTCCATATATTCTTTACTTTTCTTTAAATTACTTAATACTTCAAATTTTGGTCAAATTAATCTCTATTTTTTTTAATAAAAAAAATTTATTTAGTTTTTAATTTTACTAGAAGATGACACTGTTAAATTAGAATATTCTTATCAAATTCATATGTAATAATTTTTTATTAATTTAAGTGTTAGTTGAATATTTTATTAAATTTAAATGATATTTGATATGATATTAAAAAATATATAGATAGATTACTTCATAAATTTTTTTAAAAAAAATCATAATTACTAGTCATAACTACGCCTCTAATTCTCCTACATGCATGTTTACTTTTGCTTCATCTCCCTCGCGCACGTTCCCTCTAAATAACCATCATATGCTCTCCTTCGAGTAGGTTTGCTTCGAGAAAGAGAGATTAGGAAAGCAAATTGAGGTTGTTTTGAGCAAATGCACACAAGAACAATGAAGCAAAAGCAAACATGGCGACTATGGCTCGCAATTGGAGTAAATTCTTTTTTTTCTTTTTCTCGTTTAAATAGGTTGATTTCTTTTATTTGTGAATTTGGTCTAAATTAATATATATTTATATTTTTAATGTCACGTATATGTTATGTAACATTTGATATTCAATTTAATTAAGTTTTATATTAATAAAAATATGTTATGTATCAATAAATTTAATATTTAATATTTTACAGTAATTATGTTAATTTCTATTAATAGTATTAATTAAATTAATCAAAAATTAAAATATGAATTAATATTAACATAAATAAATTATACAAAATATCGATTAATTATTTTAGCAAAAGTTAAAAGTAAACATATGTATTTAAGCCTCAAAAAATAATTTTCTAATTTTCTACAATTTCCTGCTCAAAATTTTATACAATTTCACGATCTCTCCACTCTTTTCCCTTCCGCCTAAGATTCTGCCAAATCCTCGTTTCTCATTCCCATAAGCCTGCAGAGAGCCTGATTCCTTGCAAAACAATCCTTAATACCGATTTCACCTTCTCAAACTCCGCTGCCGAACATCGTTATTCTTCTTTTTTAGACTCTCCAAGTCTGAAATCCCGAAAGCACTGTCTGCACTATTTGAAAGCTCAGGTCCTCATCTGCAACACTCAGCTTAACGTAGCAGCTATTCTGGATTTCCTTCAGCTATTCTTCAAACAGGTAAGATTGTTTATCTTTTCAGCATCTAATTTATTACGAAATGGTTTCGTTTTCTTTCCTCGAAATGTCAGCTGGAAAATCGCGAGTCTCTGTTTTTTCCTGGATAGATGCTGTCAGGAGCTTTAGAGACCTAATTTCTAGACTTATTTTGATTTATTAACAGTAAGTTTGATCCCAAACATTCCGTGAGGATACAAGGAAGCTTGTGTTTTCTGGACGTTCGTATAGAGACTCAGAGATTTAAGGAGAGATGAATGAGGAAATAGAAGGTAAAAAGGAGAATGTAGATGAAGAAAGACATAGGAAGAGATACTTTCTTTACTCATCCCAGACTCTCTTTACATCTACTACATCCTTTTTATATTTGTATCTGTTGGACATTCACCGAAAAACTGAGAGATTACAGGTGAGGACAATAGAATTAGAAGATAAGGGAGAAGAAGTAAAGGGAAGAGAGGGAGAAGAAAGACAAACGGAGAAGGATTTTCTTGATTCATTCTAGACCTTTGAATATATCCTATTTAGAGGGAATTTGGGATTTCTCTTATTTGCTTATAAAAAGTTTTAAGTATTATACTTCAGTTTCTATTTGTAACATGAAAGACAGTTTGCTTATTAGGTTTTAGAAGTAACTTGAGAAGATAAAAAATGAGCATCATAGTCTTATCCTTTTAAGATCTTATTTTTTATTTAACATTCTCTTAGCATCCTCAGAATCTGTAACGCACATATGATAATGTGTCAAATAATAGTTCTAATAAACATATACATTTTTTATCAATTATTTTACCAATCATCACTGTTACAGCAAACACTTTTGTCCCAAAAAAGTAATATTAAATTTTTAAAATAAGAATTTAACTGCTTAATGTAACTTACAGCAACTTATTGCTTTAAATACATTTCTTTTGACAATCCTAAACACCCCAACACCCTCTTATATTGGCCAGGGGTTCAGTTGATACGAATAACCAATTACAACTGCGTAGCAACTAATTATTTCTTACCAGCTGTTGATTATCATTCCTTAACTGCCAGACTAGCATTTCCCTCGTATCATGAGCTCTATATTTTGTACTAATATTTGGGAGATCGTGTTAGAGGGTGTTTCCCAGAAAGTTCGAGGATGGGAGGTTGTAAATGTCATGTGGTGTTAATGGTTGTGGAGAAAATGTTCTAGTGTTTATGCGTGTGAACTTTACACTTCGTTTTTGTATAAATGAAAATTGAATACTTGGTGTTGTGTGCATGAGTGGTTCATTTTATATTCTTGTGAAAGTTGAAGCAGTTATAGGCATGTCCCTCTGCTCACCTGCCAAAAGAAAAAAGAAAAATTTCTACTACATTTAATGTTGACTATTTGGCCAATAAAATTTTTACGTTAAATTGTAACCGTATCATGTAAAATTCCAAGATTTTGTTTCTCACTGGGGGAAGCATTCTCCATTCTTTCTAAACCAAGTAAATACGGGTTCTCAATTTAAAATAATTTCTAAATCAGGTAGTATTTATATATATGGGTTCATGAAGAGCGGTAGATAAAAAGTAGTTATGAAATTAGTGGAGATTAGGAGGAAGTTTGCTGTTAATGAAAAATGGAGAAAAGTTAGAAGCATATTAAACGGGAGCGGAGTCATTGTGGCAATGAATGTGAAAAGATGACTGGCTTCAGACAAAGTAACTATGCCATAATGGTGACTGAATTAAGATAAGCAGCAGAGAGAAGCATTTGTTTTGAAGTCTTGAAATGGTCACTTTACATAGAGTTACAATGAGGAGATGCAGAACTTTGGTTAATTATTTTCCTTTTTGTGTGAAAAAGGTGTATTCAAATAAACTAATAAACTAAACTACATGATTTTGTAGGAGGTACGTGCCGAAGTATTATGTCAATTTTTCTTCATCTTACCTGACAAAGGTTGCTAATGATGTTGAATTTCTTTTTAACATTGGCATGACTTAAAAACAAGTACTTTAAGCAGCACCATTCAGAGGGTAGCTGTTTCTGCCCATAGTTTGGTGATAACATTGCAGGTAGTGTTGAGGGATTTTTAGCTTTCAATTTTGTCTTTTTGGTGATAGCATTGCAAGTAGTATAGTGGGATTTTTAGTTTTCCGTTTCTTTCAGCTTTCATCATCTTGTTTCCTGATTTGATGCAGAGAGAAAACTAAAGAAAGCTCCCACACGAAAATAGTTTATGATAGCGGGTAGGCTCTTGCAATCAAATAATGAACAGGTGTGCATACGCTATTTCCTCACAGTTAACAAAACTTTCTTTTATCCTTCCATAGTTCCTCTCTCTCTCTATATATATATTTTTGAAATATCTCTCTTTCTATATACATATATACATCAGCTATATATGGTGTAACTATTAGAAGGTTTTCTCTTATACAGAAATGAGAAATTTGAGTTTTTGTGGTGATGCCAATATCAAATTTGAACCTTGTGAATTTTTTCTTTTCGGGTATAAAATTTGTGGATGGCCAGAAAAATTGCAGTAACTGTAATGCTATGACATATCAGCTATAGTGTAACTATTTTAGAATTTTTTGTCAGTTGAACTGCAATCCCAATGGATTCTGGCATCACTGTAGTATTTTCTGAATGTTGGGATCTTTTATAAGTGGTTGAATAGTTGTTACATCCTAATTATCTTTTGGTCATAGTTTGATTGTTTGTCCATTTAAGACAGGGTGGTGGCAAAGAAACTTGCTGCAAACCTCAATGGTGTGAGGATTCCAAAGAGGACTCTCTGTAATGATATAGGACTGAAAGCATCTACCACTGATTCTGCTGGCCCTCAACATGTAATAATCTTTTGAAGCATCCTCCTCGTATCTAATTTTATGCTAGAACTAATTCCTTTTTCATGACATTAGCTGGTTTTTCAGTCTTCCTGTTTACTAGTAGTTCACTTTATGAATGACACAATTGTATACGGGTTGGTATCTCCTTGGTGCCTGTTAATGTAATTTGTATTTTTGTTTCAAAAAAGAGAAGGGCGCAGTTAATTTGTTTTAAATATTGAAGATATCTCCTGATATTGTTCATGGATGCCTAGAATCGTAAGCTTTCCTTGATTTATCCAGATTTTGGTTTTTGTTTTTAGAACCTTTTTGTTATTTAATAGTAAGTTGAATTAAATCACTATTTATTTCCTTATTGCTCCAACTTTATGCTTGAGAGAAATCTCTACCTTGCTTACTGGTATCAATGCGGAGGAAAATGTTTTTATGATTGGCACTTTGGTTGAAGTTCTGGTCTGTGCCGTCTTAACTTGGCATTTAACCTATTTAGATGTGCTGCTCGATTGCAAGCTACAATTAGATCTTTATAGAACCCTGTTTTTGGTAAGTTCTCCAAATGTCTAGAGAATTGGAAAGTTGCTCTAGCATTCTGTTTGTTACTTCTTTATGGTTAGAATCCTGGTGGTGTCGCTCATAATTTAGAGAAAATTATGGGGGTTTTCTATGGTTCCATGTGAGTGAGGCTTCTAGGGTCTATTGTGAGGTTTGCCATCTGTTGAAAGGGGAGGGAAACCTTAATATTGGGAATCTTGTGTTTAAAAATCTTACTCAATTGGCCAAATGGTTATGGAATTTCCATTTGCACCTTTTTTCCGGTTGTGAAGAGCAACTTTGAGTGCCCTAGAACGAATGTGACACTAAAGTAGTTTCTTCCATTACTTAGAAAAGTCCCTGTAAGTCCATCACTTACCTTTACGATTTCTTTTTCTTCTTAGTTGATTTTTCTTTTTTTTTTGGGGGGGAACTGTTGAGGAGGGGGGGGGGGGGGTTTGGGAGGCTTTCTGCATTGTTTGGGCTGGAGTAAGGAGCATAGAGCAATGGAGGGGCCACCTTTGCAGGTTTAGGGATATTCTGGCTGGAGCAGAATGCTAGAATTTTTGAGCAATTGTCTTAGTCAGCACATGTTATTTGGGATAAAGTGGTTGTTCTTGTTTCTCTTTGGGGTAAGGCCCATGGTTTTGTCAGGGTGATCCTTATCCACATTGCAAAGGGTTTATGATACTATTTTCTCTTGATATATCTTCCTTGCTTCCTTTGCTTTCTCTTCTTTTGGTTGGATGAATGCCTTATCAGCCTCTTCTGTCTTTATGTATTCTAACCTATATGAGGGGGATGTCAAACAGTCTTCTGGTGCTAATGGTCACCAACATGACATTGCAATTGTTGGTGGAGGCATGGTCGGGATGGCCTTAGCTTGTTCCCTGGGTAGGTAATGCTATTTCAATTATCCTTCTGTTATGTATGTTATTCTGCCATAGCTACCCTGCATGATTCTTTTTGGTTTTATACAATCTGATAAATCACACTCATAGCTTTTTTCTTTTAACTTATTTAAATGACAAATTCTAATTTATTTTTTGACATATTTTACTTGTAGATGGCTAAGAACTGTCTTTCTCTTATATGCTTTGGGATATTCACCATTGTATTTAATCTTAGTGCCCTCTATTGCACTTCCATATCTGTTATTGAATCTCGGAGATATTTGTTTTATCACTTCAGTTCTCATATCATGCAGTCCTTTGGTTGGCCTCAAAATTGAAACCAAACGTCTTATATCTAACTTTGCAGCGAGCTTACCATTGACAAGGCATTTGAATGTTGCCATTATTGACAATAATCCTACTTTAGGGAGAGGATTCTCCATAAAGAAGGATGACCCTCCTGATCCAAGAGTCAGTACAGTCACTCCGGCAACTATTTCTTTTTTCAAAGGTATAGAATGTTGTACATTCAGGAACTTTTTATTTTCTTCCATTAGATTTCTCTCCTATAGTTCTCATTGAAGATGAACTTTCAGATAGCTGAGATTTTTTTTTATTTTTTTCTTTTTGTAGTAGGAAAACTTTGGCAGGAAACTTATTGTATAGAGTTCAAGTTTTTTTTTTTCTTTAGACATAACTATGTTTATGTTTATATTCTTAAGGCTTGAATGTGATATATCTTCATTATTTCCACCTTGGCCTCGTGTTCTATAGGATACATATCCTTGTTCCTTGATGATATCACCTAAAATTGTTTGAAAATTCAGCAAAACCTAATTTGATATAGTTGCATTTGATGACCTGAAACTTCCACTTCATTATGTTTAAGGGCCCTTCCTAATACTGGCGGTTTCTCTGTAAGACCTTTTTACAACTAACCTGACAAGAAGGGAGATTATGGTTAGAGATTTTCCTTCCAAGCAAATCTGGAAGGTTAACTTTCTCTCAGAATTCCTTTTTTGCATGGGAGGCTGATTAGATGGTGCATTCTAACTCTGGATAAGCTGATTAGGAGGGGAAGGATTCTGGTGAACAGCTATTACTTGTGCAAAAGGGATGTGAAGTCGTGCAATCATATTCTTTTGTGGTGTCCCTTTGCCTACAGAGTTTTGACCCTTGTTTATGGCATCTTGGACATTAATTGCATAATGGCCGGCTCGGTGAGGGAGGAAATCTGGGTGTGGAAAGGAATCAGTGGTGTGAAAAAGCATTTCAGCCTTATCCCTCTTGCCATCTTTTGGGTGGTTTGGAAGGAAAGAAATAGGAGAGTTTTTAAGGACAAGGTAGAGGGTTTCAACAAGGTTAAGAATAGTTGGTTTCAGACTCTAGATTTTTTTTAAGGGCCATATTCTTTACTTTTTTGAGGATTTTAGGGACCCTATTGACATCTTGATCAATATGTAAATATTTTATAAACGGGTTTGCAACTATTGGTGCCTGTGAATGAATCTTATTGAACTTTTTATTTAAAAAACAATATTTAGTGGCCCTGTCTGTTTATTATAATAGAAAATATCAAATATTGTTTCAATGGAAATTTTGTTTAAAGAGTATATACTGAAATGTTGGCATACATGTTGGACTTCTGTTGAGCAGATATTGGTGCATGGCAATATGTTTAACAGCACAGACATGCATATTTTGATAGGATGCAGGTATGATTTGTTCTTTCTTATCTCAAACTTTTATTTCACTATTTATTTTGCTTCATATTTTCAAAATCTAATTGATGAATACTTCCATATATTTCTAATTAATATATCATCTCGGCCGTATCACCAAAATAATACAAACTAGATGAAAATCTTCCCCCTCTTTTTCTATTGAAAAAGTATAGTTACATCAAGGGTGTACAAGTGGTCATTTTGGTTACAAGAAAATTTTCTGAGGGCTTACTTTGGAAACAGCACTTGATTTATGTCCTATCATATGATTATCTTTTCCATCTGGTATTGCAAAGTCAAAGCACTAATTGTCCATTTGGTTCAATTCTTATACTGTTTCTAACATGTTCCTCAGTTTCATGTTTGAGTCGATATACTCTTATTTTGAGTTATTTGTTGTTGGATATCTTTTTTTACGAAGTTGGATATCTTTAACTGGTCTGGTAAGGATTACAAATCTATCTCCAATGAATTTAAGATCGGATCGGAATTAATTTAAATGACCCTAATATATTTCAAGGATATTCACTGAATTGGATAAGAACTCAACCAAAGATGCTGTAAGTTCTTCACTGTGTTTTATTCAAAATCTTTATGAAACTATTCCTAATTAGAAGGAAATTTTACATTGATGAAATTTCCCTCTGTTCTAATTTTTCACTTTTGAAGCAACATAGCGATTAGGAATCGGAAGAAGTTGATTTTATTTGTAACTTCTATGCCATGTTTGTGTGCGTGTGTCTATGTGTATCTCCTGCATCAGTGTCTCTAATGCTTAAATTTGAAGTTGGATAAATGTTTCCATCTATTGCATGTTTATTCCCGTCAATTTTGGGGAGGTAGATATCTTTTAATGGTCGATGATTCCTGTATATGTTAAATATAGTTTTCATTTTTGTGGGGAAGAAGGGAGTTCAAAACTGGTTCAGGACATTAAAGCCAACGTGAATATGCATTGATGATATGTAAGATACTCTGAGATGGAAAAATCTTGTTGATCTAATTGATATTTTTATCTAATTCTTGTAAATGCTTTTATACATGGGTGCACCCCTCACAGTGCCTATTGATACTTCACTTTTCTCTATTTGAAACATTAATGAAACTGTGCAACACTATTCTTCTGCATAGAGTCTTCATTGCAAATTGAATTGGAAGGATCATTCCCTTTTGTTTTTAGTTAGTGTCCTCATACAGAATTCCAGTATAAATATGCAGAGGAAGCCTGCTAAACTTTTTTTCCCAAAACAACCTGGTTATGCCCTTTTCTAATTTTATCTGTACATGTTTCTACACTTTGTATAACCTCTGCTAAGACTAGAATATCATGTGTTTGTTCTGTCTCTTTTCGTGTGCTAACCATGTTGTACTTTCAGTAGCTAGTGGTTTTTTTTTTCTCACATAAAATGTGGGCAACTGTGCTATATAACACATGCTCTCTTTGATCAGCATGTGATATTGTTAAATATGACTACTAATTTGCAATATAAAATTGTTGTACATTCATATTCTTTGTTGTTTGTTATAGGTTTGGGATTATACTGGTTTAGGATACACAAGATATAATGCAAGGGATGTAGATAAAGAAGTTCTAGGGTAAGCACAAACATAAGATGAGTAAACCATCTTTTTAGTCAGAGCTTATGTTGGCCAAGTTCTTGGAGTTCTTCAGTTTCTAATTGCAGCATGCTGATTTTTGAGTTTTGGACATGTAAAACAGGTGCGTAGTGGAGAATAAGGTGCTCCAGAGTTCTCTGCTGTCTTGCATACAGGTATTTTGTTCTTAGAGCAAATATTTTTGACATTGGGATGCTATGTAAGGTTGTATACCGGAGTTGTTTTAGGCCTGGTTAAAAATTTCAAAACCTTTAATATCGTGCCTATCCCAAAAAAGTTCAGGGATTGGTACGAGGAATTCAATAGACAGCAAGTATATGTCATCTTTTCTAAGGTGTTAGAAATGCTATATAAGACTTAAGGCTTCAAAAAAGGTAGCATAAGACACTGCAAGTTTTCCTCACTAAACCACAGGGCACAAATTGTAAACAATTCTGCCCACCAGGTGAAAATGGAACTTAGAAATCATGGAAAAAAGAATTATGCATAAGCAAATGCCATGCATTCAGCTTGGTGGTCTGGCAGGCCTAGCTTAGCTTCAGTATCTTGACATTATTTTGTAACTTAAAATGATTACAGTGCAATGCTCTTTTTAATTGCACCAAGCATCTCGATTGTTGTGGCTAGGGTCTTGTGATGAAGGTTTTGGCTGCTTCGCTGCATACTGCTTGTTAGCCTACTTAATAGTCTATGTGCTAGCTAGATGAACTTACTCTCTGCCTTCTCGAGCATATTTATATAGAAAGCTGCTTTAAATGTACATTTTCTTGCATATGTACACACATCCATGAATACATCTATGAGTGTTGTGTTCTGTCAAGCACCATGCTTGAACTTCTGACAAAACTTGATAGTTGCTTTTAGACTCTAGACTCTTTTGGAGTTTCACTCACAAATCTTTTATCCTTTTCCTTTGCAAATAACCTTTCTTCTAAAAATTTAGTCATCAACAATTGTTTTTGGAGTCTTCATGTTGGTGTGCCAAATGACTTTGTTACAAAAGCAAAAGAGCTGTCTCATCAGATATTTATGTAAAATATGTTGAAGAAATTTTGGAGACAAACAATCATTTGCTTTTACAACGTGAGGTGGAATAACAGCTATGATGTTAAGCTTTTTGCAGTATTTCGGGAAGTTCTGGGTTTTCCGCCTCCTACCTTGGATTTTTTCGAGTCCACTCATCTGACGTGTTGGACCAGGAATAAGCTTAAGGGGTTTTATGGCTTGCTGCTCTTCATGCTGGTCAATGCTTAGATCTTCAAACACATAGGTTTTCCAAATTTATTTGGTATATGGTAGTGTTATTCATCTCTTTGTGGGCTTTGCAAAGGAATTATAACTCCTCTAGAGCTCTTCCCAACTATTTTTATTTTGTTCTCTTTTATCTTAGAAGGATACGTTATCCTCCAGTCTTATACTTCTCTCTCAATATAATTTGGCAAGAAAAAAAAATGTTGCTGGGTGTAATCCAGGTAATGCAGACTTCTGTGTGCCTTCTCAATGCCATATGTTCTCTTGTTGGATAAATAACGAATATGTTCTCTTGTTGGCATTTATATCTATTTTCTTTCCAGACAAAATAATTTATTCTACTTGGTTGACTTTTGGTAGTTTTTATATTTTTGGAATCTAATAGAAGCTTTAACAGAGTACAGATTTTCAGAAGACAATCTATCCGTCCAGGTTAAATTCAATGGCTTTGCTACCAAGCTCTTCATCAATGAGAACAGGCAGTTTATCATCAACAGAAGAGTTATTCACTCGTGGGAGTTTAGTAAAGCTGGAACTAAGTGATGGCAATAGGATTTATTCAAAATTGGTGGTAAATGCACATAGATGAAGTGACAACTTTTAGATAGAGTAGAATGGAGTAGATAAATTCAGTTTTGGTTGCTTTCTTAGGTCGTATCACTTTAGTACATTAATTTACATTGGGTTGCATGGAATTTATTGTAGGTAGGAGCTGATGGGGCCAAGTCACGAGTGAGAGAATTGGCAGGATTCAGAACAACTGGCTGGAACTACTCACAGAATGCTATCATCTGTACAGTAGAACATGCTGTAGAAAATAAGTGTGCATGGCAGCGGTTTCTACCAGCAGGACCAATTGCACTCTTGCCAATAGGTGACAATTTTAGCAATATTGTCTGGACCATGAACCCGAAAGAGTCATCAGATTACAAATCAATGGATGAGGATAATTTTGTGAATGCTATAAATCATGCTCTAGATTATGGATTTGGTCCTCATCCTGAACCAAGCTCGCTAGGAAATGTAGACATGTTCTCTTGGATTAGGGGAAAGACAACAGTATCAGAAAATGAGAGTTTTGAAGTTCCACCAAAGGTGGTCAAGCTAGCATCAGAAAGAATGGTGTTTCCGTTGTCTTTAAAGCATGCTAATGATTATGCATCAAAGCGAAAGGTATTAATAGGTGATGCAGCTCATACTGTTCATCCCTTGGCTGGTCAAGGGGTTAACCTTGGATTTGGAGATGCATGTGCTCTTTCAAAAATCATTGCAGAAGGCATTGCCGTGGGCATGGACATTGGGGAGGTACGTGATCTCAACACTTAAAGAATTCTTTTTCTTGGATATCATGAGAAAGATTTTTCACATGCGTCAATATCTAGTAAAAGAATCATTTTTATGCTGTATGATATGACTTTTAATCTGTGTAAGAAAGATATGTTAACCTGTATTTAGCCATGTAAATGGTAGTACTTAAGATGAGAAATGCAACCTGAAGACTGTTGCTTTGGTAGTGATGTAAGTGATAAAGTTTCAGCCTGGGAGACTGTTGCTTTGGTTGCGAGATAAGTTGATTGTTTCTTGTCGGCTTATTCTGTAGGTTCCGGAGATTATATGTGATCACATGCTTAGTATTGAAAATGCACAATATAGTTTTTTCTCATGATTTTTCTTTCAGTTTTCTTGAGAAGTGAACGCTTCACAGTTCGTAATCCTTCGGTTGATGTTCAGGCCCTATTTCATGCAGGTGTCACTACTGAAAAAATATGAAGCAGATAGAAAACCTGCAAATATTGCAATGATGGCAGTTCTTGATGCTTTTCAAAAAGCATACTCCGTGGATTTTGGACCTGTAAATTTTCTGCGTGCTTATGCATTTCAGGGAGCTCACTATTTTGCACCACTTAAAAAGAGCATTATATCCTTTGCTTCAGGAGAGCACAGGCTGCCGCTATTTTCTTAAAACTTTGATGTCTTCTTATTTAATTTTTTTAAAAAAAAAACTTTGATGCCCTCTTACAGCAGATAAGCGACAGAAGAATCTTCCATGTATTTTCTAAACTTTTCCTTTAATTTATCCTGCAGAAGTAGTAAGTTTCACATTTTCTCATCCTTGATGGTGGCTCCCTAGACTACGGACGAATTAGTTCCGGATCAAATTCCAGAATTTAATCTGGATAATTTCTCCTCCTGAAAATTCTATCTTGCCGACTGAACAACCTTAGATGTTGAACTCGTTTGACACTCTTTTAGGAATGAACTTATCACAGTTCAATCTCTGCTGAAGACGGTGAATTAAACTCGAAAAAAACCATTTGCTTTTGTTAGAGCCTTGAGGAAAAAGAGGTTCACCTTGCATCTCCTGGGAATTTGATTGTGCAGTGCTAGTTAAGCAGAGGGTTAATTAGATTATATGGATGGCCCCAAATCTTTGGTTCTGAACGCTGATATGTACTACCTCAAGACGTCTGGTTTCTGTGGCAAACTTGATATACTGCTATATATTTAGGCAATTTATGGGGCCGCCAAACAAGAAACAACTTTTATATGAGTTCAAACACTTTTTTTTGTTGGTGGTGAAAATATCCAGTTTTATTTCTCTCTTAATGGCGCGGTCCAAATGAATTAGCAAAGATTTGAAAGAAAGCATTTTAAAAAGCGCAAGAGAACTCCATTACTAGTTTAGAGCTGATTGGACTGGAAGGCTCTTTATCTTTGGGCCTTACATATTCTCATTTCAGGAATAGAACTAACACCATCACGGAAATATAGGACACCTGAGAAATAGATTAAAAACTCCGATTTTATCTCGTTTAATGTCGAGGAAAAGGTCGTCGGATGTATTAAACTGGTGGAATATACGGATTGGATGCATAAAATTAACAGTCTTTTTACCTGGTGTTATTTGACTTTTTTACTTGAGGTTTGGATGAACTTGAATCAGTTTTGCCATGCACAAAAAAAAAATTCTCTGAGTACCACGTCGGAAAAGAGGAGGAGCAATTTTGCCAGCTTCCAACTGTTAATTGGCTACTCGCTTCCTGCAATTTTCATGTCACTCCCCATGATACTCAAACCTCCGAAACCAATGTAAAAAAGAGAACCTTTTGGAATGAAAACCAAAGAAAATTCAGCTTGAAATCATCATTCTTTACACCTTGTTAGATCCAACTCGAGCATTTGAATACTCAGAAACAGTAGCATGTACAAGAACATTTTGGGACAATTGCTCGTGGGTCAAATGTGTTGGCAGTATAACTTCTTTATGCTATCAAGTAGCACTACAATTGTTCTGTATACAAATATATGCACAATTTATCTAAACAGCTGGACTGTAGGAACCTGATTACAAAAGTGTATCTCGAACTATACGTGCTAATACTCTTGATGTCAACCGACTAACCAATTCAGGAAGCACTGTGGCAGAGATTCCAGGTAATACTGGAAGCAATTCTTGGACAACTTGAGCAACATCTGTAGCCTGTCAACAGCCCAATCGAAAGCAGAAAATTAAGAAATATATTAACACCATCCACCAAATGGAGGGAAGAGATCATTTTTTTAAAATAAAGAGGCAAAAGATCATAATGGTATATGAATTTAACAATCAAAATACACCACTCACCTGATTTGAAGTCCTGGACAGGGAACTTCCTGCAGTTAAGAATTCCACAACCTTTTGAACATTATTCAATATGGCACGGTCTTCCTCAGTAATTGTGGGCAGTAGACCTGCAGGTTTGAATGGTCCAAATGTAGGAACCATGCTAAAAACAGGGGCAGGATTACGTATTCCTAGGAGTGCCATTATTTGTACCAACTGCTCCCTCGTAACTGCATCAATGCCCTTTACGACCTGCTTTTCATGCAGGAAAAGTGATTAGACAATGAGATCCTTTATAACCAGTCTCAAGAGTACTACATAAGGATGTTTGTTCAATACGACAGTATCATACAAGGATGTTTGTTCAATCCAAATCAATACTCTACCACCTTAACTACAGCGTATCTGTTTGTTCAATGTAGCACTCCGAAACAAGAAAGATGTGAAACAATAGAACATAACATGGTAGCAAAAACAGAATTCTGAATTTGAAAAGAAGAAAATCCACAACATTGTGGGCCCATCTGCCCTGCAATTACGTAATTGGAACCTTAGGACAGTTGACATAGAAAACAGTAATTTTTTCTTTGGAGGCAAAAGCACAAAATTATGAACTATGTATAAAGGAAAGAGAAGAGAACAAAAGAAATACATGCACAGGCAGTAATTTACATTTTTTACATGTTTGTTTATGCAACAATTTGCGTGTATACATGATGAGTGCACAGATATTTATGTGTATGAATGGAAGAACATAACAGACTGAAAAGTCAACTCCAGCAGCACGCACCTCATCCAGAAGAAACTCTCGGAAAAAATTCCCTTTATCAGACAGTAGAAATGCTAATGCTGCTCTCGTTTGAATGGGCTCCTTTGTTTCAGATGTACTTGATGGGAAGCCAGGGAGGATGTACCCAGTTTGACTTTGTAGAATGCCAAGTTCAGCCATATCCCCATTTAAATTCTCTCCACCTCCACTTTTGGCTGCAGTTATGAAGTTCTCAAATGCTTGCATAACATCAATAAATCTCTCAGCATCAAAAACACCAGATTTTCCATATATGGTGTAACGTAAAGCATTCCTTAACCGAGGAGATTCATCGGTGAGAAGTCTCTAGAAATATTGAAAAACACAACTACGTAGTATTAGATCTAATATATAAGGGCATGATAAATTTTAATTATGGTCAAAACAAAGCATTTAGTAAGAGAAAGCATAAAAATTGAGGCAGACATATTTAGCCTCTTAAGCATAACTAACACAGACACTAGAAATTAGTTACTGAGATAAAACAGACAACACATCGATGTATCTTCCATGAAATAATCCAAATAAAACTTCATATTGTTACCTGTGCAATATATGGATAGGCCTCATCTACAATGGCAAAATCAGGATTCCCCACCAAAGCTATGCCCTCCAACACCCCAATTGCCCTGATTATAAGAGCAAAATATGGGGGTATCCTAAATGGATAATCAAAAGTTATTTGTGCCAAATCGGATGCCAATTCCTGAAAGTTGATATTTTTGGCTCCACCACCTTCAAGTGCCTGGTCAAAAACCTTAGCCAGAACCGGCAAGATTGGCTCCAAATTGACCCCCTCTGGAATAAAATCAAGTTTAACAAAGTCCTTCACTATAGCTCCATAATCCCTATGAATAAGGTGAGCAATTGCTTCAATCATTCCATACTTCTGATCATCAGTTAATCTTGTGACGAGACCTGTTGCATAAAAGCACAACTAAGATTTGAATAAATGGGATCCTAGTAACTAGATAAAAGTAACACTGACCAAATATATTTTATTTTCATGGTCGAAATTAGTAAAATGTAAAACAACTTGGAAGGAGATATTCTGTATTATGATTGAAAGAAAGAACTATTCTGTGTATTAAAATTGTAAATTCTAGATTTAAGATGCATAAATAATAAAAATCAGTTGAAAGACACCCTGAGTAATGCAAAATAGTCATAGCTGCAAATTGATCATACAAAAAGAGAGAACAGAATGCAGACAACCCTGACAATCATTCATTTCTTTTACACGCTATAGGTACATAAAAGCACCACAGGAGAAACTTGGAAAAATTTTATACCTATGTCAGCTTTGGTGCCCTTCTAATCCTTGTGCAAATTTTGAAAGTAAATAATGAATCCAAGGGAAGAGAAGAATTCTATCTAGAGTAAGAAAAAATTAAGTTAAAAGTTCACAATTTTGAAGTGAACTAAGCATAAGATAACTACACCTGCACTAAGAATCAATGAAGGAAGAAAGGCATGGCTTCTCTTAGAATGCTTTTACAGTCTGATAGAATAAAAACAATTAGATTGAGAAATGGACCAACTCTTACCAAAATCTAGAATGGCTAGCTTTCCATCTGGAGTGCGGATCAAATTTCCAGGATGAGGATCAGCATGGAAAAATCCAGTATCTAGCAACTGAAATCCAGATGTAATGTTATAATTCATGAATTCCACTAGATATTTGCACGAAGTTAACCAATATGATGCATTGAAGATATAGACACTGACCAAGCAAAGAGGCATTCAAAGTAATGTGAATAAGAACTGTTTGATGAGGAGGTAAAATTTAAAAGGAAATAGATAACATATGAATAACTGGTGAAGAAGGGGAGGACCCGATGAGCTAAATATTAGAAATGCTAAGGAGGTTAGTTGCTGTCTGTATGGGTTCACTGCATCAGAATCATTAAATTAGAAGTAATGAGGTATTGAGAAAGCTAATTCAGTTCACTGCTTTCTTCAACAAATAGTAACTTTAAAACTTACCAATATTCAAGTTACTACTACTCTTTTCAAATTAACTGATATTTAAGTTATTAATTTTTTTTCAAAATTTAACAATATTCAAGTTATTTACTATTTCTTTCGAACATGTATTTCCTTTTTTGAAGTTCTATTATACATTTTATTCGAGTTATTTTGAAAATTTAAATATCAGATTTTCCTTGATAACAAGTCAATGAGGAATCAGTTTCATCTGGTCATGAGTTTGGCTTGAGAAACTTTCTTAATTCAGACTGTACCATGAGATGACTCTTTTCCATATCTTGCCAGTATTTAACAATGAAGTATTGTGCAATGTCTTGACAAGAATTTCAGAGATTTTGTCACAATCTTTGCTGAATAAGGGATTTTTTGACTGGAACATAAACCCCTTACCACAATATTCAGTTATCATATTAACCATACCCATGCTATTTCGAACAGAATGAATTGTATGGTCTCTCAGATTATTTCGAATGTAAATTGAACCAAAATTCATGACGCATAGGTCAAACCTAAAGGTTGACCAGAATCCAGGAAGCACCATGCAAGAATTGACTCTACAAACTTACTGACTAACCTCTCTCCGGTGCTGGGCAGAGCTAATTAGCTCAGTGGAATTCCCATCAAATATGGATGGTACAGAAGTTTTATATATCTTTTTTTTATTTCAAAAAAACATAATATATATATATATATATTAGAACACATAGTATCTATTCTCAATCATCAATCTGAAAGTACTCAATCTCCAGCTCTGGGCTAATCAATCAAAAAGGAAAGAAAAAATAGTGCAGAATATGAAAAACAATATCACATTAAACATGACCACTATCTGATCAAAGAAAGATAATTCTTTAATGAAAGCAGAACACTAACCATGTTCACTCCCTGGCCCGAAAAAGCATAACTAAATAAGCAAGTACATAGAGTTGTTTACCTGCTTTAAGTAACATATGACTCCAACATTAACCAGATCTCCAACATCACTTTCTGTACTTTGTGACAGTTTTTCTCCATCTACCCATCCTGTAGTAAGAACTTTTCTTGAAGTATACTTGTGATAGGTCTTTGGGACAACAACCTGAAACACAACTTTCAACTTGTAAATAATTTTCCCATCAAATACCAGAAGAAATTAAGATAATGAAACTCCAACAAGGAACTAACGACATAGCATATACATAAATACATTATAGCTTACATATCACCTCCTTTTATACCATTAAAATGCATGCATGAACCTTTTAAGTTAAGATAAAAAATTTCATGAAAAACTGAGAATTTTAATCTGGGTTACCGCATATCTTTTTAGAAGGTGTCTCCGCAATTTTTATTGATTGTACTCAGAGCATGCTAGATATACATGTAGAACCTGAAACGTTTATGAGTGGACTATCTGGACCAGGAAGCAACGCCAACTGGCCCACAAAAAAAGTATTCATGAAGAGTTTATCAGACTCACCTGTGGAAGGTCCTTCCTCATCATTTCAGCAAAGAGTGTTCCATTTTCGCCCTCACTAACATAATCTAACTCCTCAAAGAACCGAGCAGCCCATTCATCAACCAGCCCAACGACATCTACAGAGATCTTGAAAAAAAAAAAAAAGAATAATAAGGCTAATAACTGTCAAGGAAACTGGAGGAAAATAACAAAAGTGGTTTCATCTATTTGTAGAATGAGTTAAATGGCTAAAGTTCTATTTCAGAAAAACCTTACCTGAGGAAACTTCCGGAGAGCCAATCCCAAGTTCCTTATTATATACAAATCAATTGTTACTGTCTCCAGAACAAAAGGCCGCTGCACTTTGACAGCTACTAGGTCCCCATTTTCCTTTAACCGGCCCTTATATACCTGCCCAAGAGATGCTGCAATGATGGTCCCACAATGAGATAAGATCAGATAGTAGATTACCAGATTCCAACAAGCAAGGAATATTTTCCCTCCTTTCTTTTTCCTTCTTAAATCCAAAATCCTTAGTAAATATAAATAAACATGATTAGAGAATACCAGCAGCTATTGGGGAAGACGATAGTTCAGAATAGATTTCCTGCCATGGCTGACCAAGCTCCTCCTCAATAAGAGCCATTGCGACATCATCTGGAAATGAAGGAACCTTCACATATCATCAAATAGAAAAATCAGCTCCTAAAAAGAGTGACCTAATCCATCTAGTTTATTATTTCCAAGGACCTGTTTCATGGTCATGCTTGGCACTGACTATTTCAGAAGGAAGGCACAGATGCTAAAGAAATAGAGGTCTCATCTATTGTCTCATCATGAGTCAGAGAAAGATGCTTTATGCAGTTGAATTTCCACAAGCTTTAGCTTGACTTTCAACATATTATACACTGAGGTAAGGATGATCTTGAATAGGCATTATTCTTCTTGCTCTTTCCCAGCATTCTTGGATAATTTAAAGCTTAGGCTTCTAACAGTCGCTTTCTTTTCAGTTTGTTTCCTTCTTTGTCCTGCTTTACTCTTCTTAGACCTCTTTGGTAATTCCTGTATTATCTTTCAAATACATAACAAACGATGTTTTCACTAACTGTTTTCTAAAACTCATGTTTTCTTATGGGTCATTAGTAATTTAAAAAAGGAAGACGAAAGGAAAAAAGTAGATTAAGTTTTCTGCAAGTACTAAACAGTTTATGAGTTAAACTATTTGTATCTTTTTCCTGTTTGATGTTAGAAGAAGTTACTCCAGACAGTGTAGAAGTTAAACTATTCCTAGGGGGTATGCAGGATCTTATCTTGTATATAAACTGGAACATAAATCTGCAGTTCCCATAAATAAAACAGCAGGCACAACTTGTGAAAACTAAAGAGTTTTTCTTTCCTTTTCTAAACTCAAAGATCGAAGGGCTCTCCCTTAACAAGCCCTTCTTGTTTAGAGATTGACAGATAGCAAGCCTTTCTCATTTAGAGAACGGAGAATTCTCTCTTACAAGCCCTTCCCTCTTCCACAACAAGCCCATAACTAGATCCTACCTTAGGGGACCCTCGCATGTTGTCCATAACTTTACCTTATCACAAAGTTTTTGCAGCTCAGTCATTGCAACAGGTGACAGTATATCTGGTCGAATACTCAATGCTTGCCCAAGTTTTATATATGCTGGGCCCAGAGAGGTGACAATTTCCCTTAATTCAATTGCTCGAGCAACTTCATTCTGATCACAGAAAAAGAAAAGAAACAATAAGCTTCAAAAGTTCAAGAATCATATTTAAAATCAATACATAAAATTTTTCTACTGAGATAGTGATGGATAAATCAAAGCCTGTTTGTAAAGAA